ATCTAATAAAGAGGGAAAAGTAGCAAGTTGACAGTGGACAATCCTGACACTACTTTTGCCGAGTAACCAAAGTTAACATCACCATTAACGCATACTAACATCATGTGCCCTCTGATATGATGCACTGAGAAGGGCATATCACCTCTGTATTATGCTTCCCAATAATACATACCTTACTCTAATCACACGAAACAAACCCAAACATTCTACAAAATAATTGACAGTACTCTTTTAGAGAGTCATGATCATAAAAGACAAGGAAAGATTCAGGAAATGCCCCAGGTAAGGTTCTGAATTGGATACTGAAATAAGAAAAGGACGTTAGTGGACAAGCTTATGAAATCTAAATAAATTCTCTTCTTTCATTAATAGTGTGTGTTGTACCATGGTTAATTTTCTTAGTTTTGATAAGTGTTCTATAGTCATGTGAGATGCTAACCTAAGGGGAGGCTGCATGAAGGGTTTATGAGAACTCTCTGTACTATTTTTGAGATGCTTCCATACATCTAAAACTAACTCGGGGTGCCTGGGTGGCTCAGTCGGTCATGATCCTTCAGCTGCTTTCAGCTCAGGTCATGATCCCAGGGTCTGGGATCGAGCCCCATGTTGGGCTCCCTGCTCAGGGAGATCCTGCTTCTCCCTCTCCTTCTCCCTCTGCTTGCTGCTCTTCCTACTTGTGCTCTCTCTGTGTCTCTCTGTTAAATAAATAAATAAAATCTTAAATAAAATAAAAAATAAATAAAAAATAAAACTAACTCAAAGTTTTAAAGTCTAACAAAGTCAGAACCTCATGGACCAGTCAAGGTGGGCTCCCTTACCATCCTTGAAGTCCAAGCCAACTTTTGCACCCAAAGGAGGGCAGCTGCACTGAGCTGGCGGTCATGTAATGATACTTTTACTTGAGAGAGAGCCCTGGTCAGGAATGGATTGGAAAAGGGTTTGAGGAATTAAATAGGATAGAAAGTCACAGAATAATGATGTTCTTCCTTTATTTAGAACATATAATAAGGCAGGCATGGTGCTAAGTTCTTTAAATCTTTTATCACACTTAAACCTCACAACCTTTGAGGTAGGTGTTAGTTTTCCCTATTTACAGATGAGCAGACTGGGTCTTATAGAAGCAAAACAACAAGATCATAGAACTGAGAGTTTGTTGGTGGGGTTGGGACTCAAATCCAAACTTTTTTACTCCAGAGCTTGTTCTTAATCACTCCACTGTACTATCTTTTCAAGGATGACCCTCATTCAGTTCATACCTCAGGGGTTCCACACTGGGGTGGGTCAGAGTTGTAGGGATAGAAGGCAAGGGGGCAAGGGGATGGCCTGGGATGGGCTGGTCAGCCAGAGCTGTCCATGGTGCTGGCCAGAGAGGCGTGTAGCTGGAGAGAGGAGATGGTCTAGGGGAAGACAGCTGGGAAAGCTAACACAGAGAAGGAGCACTGCTCAGACTAGAAAGGAAGAGCAGTTAGACGTGGTGACTGATTCTTCACCAATGAGGGGGAATTCAAGGGGGAGATACCAAGTTTTGGCTAGAAATAAGTAACTGTGAATACAGCAGCTGGTGAGGTAGGATTTTTCCTCAGGTCTCACTTGCAACTAATACTATCCACTATAGCTCTACTGGTTGTTAAAATCTGGAAATACTTTGGTACCAGTTGGGAAATAGTCACTGGCTGAGTCCTCCTCTGCTGTGGCTGCTCTCCCTTGTCCCCTCACCATTACTCCCAGCTCTCCCCATGACCCAACAACAAAAGGGTTAAAGCCTGGCATAATGTGCTTGGAAGACTTACCTCACTAATTTCAGAGGTCAGAAATTTCTGTGGGAGGACTCATCTCCTCATCTCCCTCCCCTAAGTTAAGTACATCTTGGATGCAGACCTGATTTCAGTACCAACACTGGAAATGGAGTCAGAGTTGCAGGGAAGGAAGACGGGAGGGGACTTTGCAAGTTCTGCAGTTGGGTTGACTTGCCAACTGGACAGAAAATCACTCTGGTACCTACTTTTGTCTTTCTCCATCCCAGAGCACCAAGGCAGGCTCCTTCTTGTAGAAACAAAAGAGCGGGATGTGGAGAGAAGAAAAACTTCCTGCCTCTCTAGTGTGGAGCAGAGAGGCTAGGAGGTGGTAGGAAGGGAGGGTGCACAGAAAACCGAGTGGCTTAATTATAAGGACCTCCCATTTGGTGAGTGACCATCTTCTAGCATGTGACCATGCACGTGCATCTAACTTTATTGATTATCTATCATGCCTAAAATACTTTTCACATGTCTGATCACTCTGTGATCACTCTGTCGCTACACCAGCCTTTTTAAAAGATTTTATTTATTTATTTGTCAGAGAGAGAGCGCACACAAGCAGGGAGAGTGGCAAGCAGAGGGAGAAGCAGGCTCCCCGCTGATCAAGGAGCCTGATGTGGGAGTTGATCCCAGGACCCTGGGATCATGACCTGAGCCGAAGGCAGATGCTTAACTGACTGAGCCACCCAGGCATCCCATTTTTTTTTAAGATTTTATTTATTTATTTGAGAGAGAGAGCATGAGCAGGAGGAGGGGGAAAGGCAGAGGGAGAGGGAGAAACAGACTTCATGCTGAGCAGGGAGACAAACCTGGGACTCCATCCCAAGACCCTGAGACCATGACCTGAGCCAAAGGCAGACACTTAACCGACTGAGCCACCTATGCGTCCTGCTACATGAGTCTTTTGATAATTACCCCCAGATAGCAGTTGAGGAAACTAAGGCTCAGAGAGGTCATGTGACTTGTTCAAGATCACACAGTCAATAAGTGACAGTCAGGATTAATCTCAGGTCAGATTTCCCAGCCCAGAATCTCCTCTATTCTATTTGGTGGGGGAAGAGAGGCAAGACTTAGAAAAGATATTTTTGAGTGTGCTGAAGCCAAAATTACTGAGTGTATGCTTTATCTTTATTACCTCCAGCCAAGGTTTCCAGACAAAAGGATTCAAGTCTGCCTACTACCCATTCTCCTTCCTCCTTTTCTCCCACATCCTGGTCCTCATCAATTTCCTGAGTCATCACCCACCCTTGTTCACAGCCTTGAACCAAACAGCACCCACCCTGTTGTCTTTCTTGGGTCCATGGAAGATACAGTCACCAGGGCCTAGCACCCATTTTTTCCCATGGGTTCTGGCCTCCTGGAAAAGGGGACTTCCAAAGCAAACTCAGCTTCCTCTCTCCTCCTGAGACTCAACCCGTTGCCACACCCCTTTCCATGTTGTTTGCCTTTTGGAGCAAAGTCCGGCTTGGACCTCTCCCTGGGAGTCCACTATGTCAGTCAAGGTCAGAGCTCTCCAGCAGAATTCTCAGGAGGCAGCCAGAACCCCACTGAAGTGGAGCACACAGGGTGAGGACAATGAATCCACCAAGGTTTAGGCATACCAGAGCTGTGGAGGGACACTCTTTCACTGAAGAGGCACAAGGACACATGGCTCCTAGCATGAGCTTTCTCACCTCCTTGGGGTGTTCTTGCTGGGATTCCTGAGACCACAACCAAGCCCTGTCTGCAGAGTCACTGCTCCTATTTCTTTTCAGCCTAAGAATGGAAAAACAGGCCCCTTTCCCTGTCCTTAAGGTCCAGCTGAGTCAGGTTGACCATTTCAAAAAGAGCTTAGAGGAAAACAAAAAGGAAATCATTATAGAAACTACAAACAGCATAGACATTGTCATGTCCAAAGTGCAGGTTTCAGATTCTGAGAATAACATTAAAACCGGTGAAAAGCTCACTGAGTTCCACATTCCTTGATTCCAAGAAAATTCCAGACCTAATGGTGCTGGCATAACTTCATGGGCCCCCTGGCCTGCCCCTTCCCTCCAGTTCAGCCAGCCTCTGGCCATGTGATTTCCCAGGCCAACTCAGGCCACTTTGTCATCTTAGTCCATCCATTGTTTACTTTCACAAGTAAATGCCAACTTTCCCAAAATGAGAGTTTATTTTCTGGGTTTACTCCTAGACTCATTAAGGTCTCTCCCTGTAACACCACCCCCCATCACCGTCCTGGGTAGTGAAACATCTTTAATTGCTCAGAATGAACTTTGAGGCTTTCAGCTTCACCCACCTAAGGAGTCTTCACCAAATTAGAGCTGTTACAAAGAAAACCACATGCCCAAAATGGTGTCACTTAGGCCAAGTTTCAACCTCCCCCAGAAATGTAGTCTTAACGGGTCAGACAGGAATTTTCTGGTCAGCACCAATGAGGTCATCTGTCACAGGTGGCCTCTCCAACCCCCAAAAGAAGATAAGCAATCTGTAATAAGAGCCCCTGCCCTTCCCCATAAGGGAAGGCCATCTTGCCTGAAATAATCCTTTCTTTTCCTTTGCTAATAACATCTTGTCCCACCCTCCTGTCTATAAAAACCTTCCCTTTTGCATAACGCCCTGGAGTTCCCCTCTACTTGGTAGATGGGATGTTGCCCAGTTCATAAATCCATTTAAAAAAGCCAATTAGATTAAAGTTTACTCCCTTGAGTTTTTGTTATTTTACAGACCTTTTCCACAAAGCAAATGCGGACAAATCAACAAATGCGCTTCCAAGAATCCACATTAGCATACCAGCGCCTTCTTCATACATTAACCTCCAGATCCCTAGAAAAGAGTTAGCTTGGTGCCAGGGAGGAGGTAATGCCGGCAGAAAACGGGTAGGACACTTTCTCTGCCACCTGCCAGAGGACTCCAGTTGTAAAGCAATATGCAAGTGAAAAATAACTAGGGGTTGCTTTCAAGTTAACAATCGCGATCACAGATTGAAGTTCCGGTTGAGATTCTGACCCTACGTCACCATCGCGCGGCCGGAAATAACTGGAACGGCTCCCACTCAGGTGACGAGCCCATGGAGTAACCGCCTATGAATTTGGTCGTCTACTAAAATAAGGACTGCGAGGACGTCACGACAACTAGGAGACTATACATTGCATGTTGCGACTGGCAGAAGCTCAGTGGCTACTAGTAGGGAAAATCAGAGAATTAAAAAAGGGTAAGCATTAAAATTGGGCGGCGCTTTCGCCTTCTCTGAGCATGACTCATTCGGGATGCCGTCGTTGTCCTGGGATACCGGGAGACACCTTGTCCTGAGCGTCCTGTCTCTATGGAAACATCAACATGGCGGCAGAGTGAGTTCTGAGAGTTGCTCCCAGGACCAGGGGAACGGCGCGAGTAGCCACCGAAGGTATCTGTCCCGGAAGACCGCCTCCTTTGGGAAATTGTGGCCGGGGGTCCCTTCCATGTCCCTTAGAGAGCCCCGTGGGACTGAGACTACGGTGAGTTCAGTCTGGGGATATCCTAGAGAACAGAGGAACGACCTTAAGTATTTTTATCACTTCATTTTACCAATTTCTTTTCCACTCCACACTACGCGGCGACCCGCCACTTTTCCCACTGGTCATCTTAGGAATGTTTACGTTGGAAAAGAGGCAAATAAAGGAAGCTGATGATATATTTTTTTAAAGTCCTCAATATTAGAAAATTGGATTTAAAAACAACACCTACCCTGCCCAGTGTCTTCACAGTGATTGCAGATGGGTGTCTTTTGGAAGAGTAGCTCAACCGAGTATGGAAGTTATGATTGTTAATTACAGTAACACTGGTTCCTCTACGGCTTTTTCAAATCCCCTATTTCATTCCAACTTCACATCAACTTTGTGGAATAAGATAACCTTCATTTGGTGAGGTGACTGAGGCTCCAGGAGATGGAGAAACTTGCCCATCTCAGTGAACCTGAGCAGATGCAGCTCTCCGGGACCAGCGCTCTCTTCCCTAAGCCCTAAGACCTGATCTGGAGATTTCTACCCCACTGTCTCTAATTTCTTCTACCTGTGTTGACTGGTGACTTTTTCAGAACTCTGAGGTATTGGCTATTTATAGAATCCCCTGAGGTCACAGACTTTACTGAATCAGGCAGGACTACAAAGCCATCCAATAGCCGAAAGGTAATGGGACTCTCCTCCCTGCCTCCCTAGCTGGCATTTCTTTGATTCCTTCTGAATATCCTCTTTACAGGGGAAGGTAGGGGCCTTGCCTCTCTTGTCCATTGCCTAGCACTGTACATATAACAGGCACTCAGTAAATGCTTTGTGAGCGAATGAATGAATGAATGAATGAATGAGTGAGTGAATCTAAGATATTCTCCAGAGGTTTTGGAGGTGTTGCCAATTAGGAAAAACTGAATCAACAGAATCTTTTGCTTTGGATGGTGGTGGGGAGGGGATGGGAGTGTCTGATAAAATTGTATAAATTTTTAAAGGATAACCATAAAATCATTGACTAAAGTGTAATATGTTATAATAAGGAGTTGAAAGCTGAACCCCAAACTTGAAAAGAGGTAATTTTTTTTTTAAGTAGGTTCCACGCCCGGGTGGAGTCCAACATGGGGCTTGAACTCAACAACCCTGAGATCAAGACCTGAGTTGATATCAACAGTCACTTAACCGACTGAGCCACCCGGGTGCCTGGAAGAGAGGTAATTTTAGGCCAAAGAAAAGACAGCTTACATATCATCATAAATTGTTGTAAAGATTAAAATACATACGGGGCACCTGGCTGGCTCAGTTGGTGGAACATGTGACTCTTGACCCCAGGTTTGTGAGTTAGAGCCCCACGTTGGGTGTAGAGATTACTTAAAAATAAAATCTTAAAAAATGATAAAATAAAATACGTGAGAAGGCCTTACAACACTGCTTGGCACATAAGTTCTCAATAAATGTCAGTAAAAGTTGTTACTATTTTTGAGATTATTATTCAAAGAGGTGGGGAAGGACACTGAGTAGTCTGAAAAATATACATAATTTCAAAAAGGTGTTAGATTGACGCTGTCCAATATGGTAGCCACACCTGGGTGTGTGTGTGCTGAAGGAATCTCCTAAAGGAAGAGGGGATTGGGAGTTTAGGCCCCGTGTGTGTTCCCTAGAGCAGGACCAAACACCCTTTTGAGTATTTGGTGAAAGCTGTGGACACTTTCCCTGGAAAAAAAGCACTTTGCCATATATATGACATTTTGCATATGGTTTGCATATAACCTTTGCATATATTTGCATATAATTTCCAGCTGCAGTCTCTCCATGGATCCCTCTGCTCTAGAAGTTGACTCGCTTATCTTTGGATTGAGTGATTATTTCAGTGAATGCTTACTTTAAACCTGGACTGCAGGTTGCATACCGATAGAGGAAACCCGAAAGACCGGGATTCATCCAGTCTCACTTACCTCTTCGTTGCCCCTTCTCCTTCTCACAGGAGGCAAGACACACTCTGAAGAAACAAGTAGAGAGCAAAAGCCAGATAAAAGTAATACGTGTGCTTCAGTGACACTCACTGGGGGCTTCCTGAGAAATGCAAAGGGTGGCCATGGCAGGCAGGGCTGGGTGGGCCTCATCCCTGAGTCCCTCTCCTGAATGATGAGTTTCTAGGCTCCTGGGCAGAGCGCTGGATCTTGTACCCTGGCTTTTTGCTCATGGTGCCACCTTGTACCTCCATGCCACAGCTGGTAAGCGGGCCCCCCTGTAATAATGACGGCCACGGCCAGTTTACTCCACGAGCCTCTCTCTTTGATGTCCCTCTTGTGTCCCCTCCGGTCCCTTCCTAGCTCCACATTGGCAGAACTCCTGGCTCAGCCAGAGTGCTCCCCTTGGACTTGTGTTCCAGGTGGCTGATGCTCATCCAGGCAGCCTCAAGCCCCCTGATGAAGACGAGGGACAGCATGAACTCCGGCTCCTGCCTGAGCACCAGCACAGTGGCCGTTCCCACCGTCACTGGCAGCAGTGTGGTGCTGAGTGCCTGCGGCAGCAACACCAGTGCCCACGTGAGCACGTGTCCGGGGGGGTGGGGCGGGGTGCTGCAGGGCCGGCAGGGGTGCTTAGGAATCTGGAAGGACCTGACTCCCCCTGTCCAGACCCCGACCCTAGACCCTGCATACACTGAGCACCAAGCCGCCTGGAGTGGTGGCAGCAGCAAGAGTGGCCGTGAGGGGTGGGGGTGCATGTGAAGAACTCTGGGGAGGTGCCAGTCAGAGCTGAGAGAGTAGTCAAGGGTTCTCTCTTGCCTCAGAAAGTTCTTCTGGGCTTCACCCCTTGTGTTTGACCAAGATGTGGATGTTGCTGACTTTTTTGCAGCTCTTGGCTGACATAGCAGGGGAGGAGTCACACACAAGGAGTGTGACTGTGGGGTAGGACTGTGTGGGGTGCAATGTGTGTCTGTGTCGTGTGTGCATTCTTGTGTCTCCTGAGGACCGGGGGTCACCTCACCCCTCCATCTGTGCCATTCCGGGCCTGTTTGCCCCATGTTCCCTCACGGCCCTTACCCACTCTGCGCTGAGCTGGGAGGAGATTGAAAGTGGGGAGGAAGGGAGGAGCCAGGGCATTTCTCTCCCCCAACCCACTTTCGTGACAGTATTCCCATCAGCAGCTGCATCTCCCCGTGACTCCAGTCCCCACCAGACAGGCCTTGGGGCTGTGAGAACCCCAGTACCTCCCCTAACCTAGCGTGGTAGCAGCTTCTTGATGTCGCTAGCTTCTGGGTTACTTCACTGTGCCTTGGTTGTGCATTAAATTCCTTGTTTTGAACACCCATGGTGGCTTCTGTTTTCCTGATTGGACCCTGACTGATGTCCCTACTGATATTTACCATAAATTACCCTGGCTCACCCATGTCACCTTTCCTCTATGGGCCAACCAGGAAAGAAAATACTATATTGGCCACCTGATACTCTCTGTAAATATTTAAGCTGAGAGTGTAATAAGCTCCAAGACAGAAGAGATGTGTCTGTCTTGTTCACTATTATAGTCCTGGCACCTAGCACAATGTCTGGCTCATGATACGTAGTCAACAAATATTTGTCCAGTGGATGAATAATTCTTTATGTTAAGTAACAATATAGAAGCAATACTTGGCCAAAGATAAAATAACATGGCAGTGAGTGAAATGTTCACTGCAATGACTGTGGTAGGAAGAGGTACCTTGTTCATTTTCCCTTCACCTGGGCTTTGCCCCCTCCGTCCCCCTCCCTCCTCAGGTAGATGGGACTAGGGATCAGCTTGGGAAGGATTTTCCGTTATAGATGGGAAGCTTTGGCACACTGCGCCTCTACATCGTCAGGAGCAGTGCTTGGAGTAGCCCCCACATCACGACAGGGGGTGGGGATTTCTTGAAGGCAAATTGACTCCTTCCTCTGCTCCACCAGCCACTTGAGGGATGGGAGAGGGAATGGTAGAGTATTCTTGTGGTCTCACAAAGTGCATGGGATAGACCACTCCAGCTAGGAGAGGCTTCCGCAGCAAAAGGGTAGGATGGGAAGGAAGGAAAGGAAAAGGCAGCACCCGAGGGGACTGGTATCTTTGGGTGCACTGGGGAACAGAACCCACCAGCTAAGCCTGCTCAGTGCCCAATGGAGTGGTCCAGGGAAGGCTCCAGGGAAGGCTGCAGGGGAAGGGTCATGGAGAATCCATGCAGTGGCCTCGGAAATGGTAATATCTGACTGCCTCTCATCTTCTCTCTCCAGACCATCCCCTAGGGACCAAGGGTCGGGTCAATTCCTTGCTTTCTGGAGATGGGAGCTTTTTGCCTGTTCTCTGGGCATTTCAATCTTACCCCGCTAATGCGTCCTTTCTTCTCCAGGCTGCCAGCTTGACGGACACTCGCATGTGCTTCTCAAAAAAGCAAGACAAAGTGAAGAAGAGGGTCATCTGGGGCATTGAGGTGGTCGAGGTGCTGCAGTGGCAAGGTTGGACACTCGGGAAGGAGATCACCAAGAGCCTGGCTCTGAAAAATCTGTCCTTGAAAACCCAGAAGATGACATACAGGTACCAGTATCAGGGGTCAGAGACCCAGCCCCTGAGCCCTCAAGCCCCCCCGTCACTCTTTAGAAAACAAACTTTAAAATTATCGTATAAAATTAGGGGCACCTGGGTGGCTCAGTCAGTTAAGTGTCGACTCTTGGTTTTGGCTCAGATCATGATCTCGGGGTCGTGAGATCAGTTTTGCATCCAGCTCCTCGCTCAGCGGGGAGTCTGCTTGAGATTCTCTCTCTCCTTCTCCTTCTGGCCCTCCCCACCACACTCTCTCTAAAATAAATACATTTAAAAAAATAAAGTTATCGTATAAAATTAGAAGATTATACAAAACATGCACAGTTTGAATGATTATTGGAAGTGGAGCCCATGTGACCAGATTACGAGTGGAATAGTAAGTGTCTGAAGCTCACCTTCTCCCATGGTGTGTCACTCCCCTGTTGAAACACCTTCTCTACCATAAAAGTAACCACTCTCCTGACTTAATGATAATGATTTCCTTGCTTTTCTCAGTTGAATGGATTTATCACCTATGTTTGCATCCCTAAATGATATAGTTTAATTTTACTTTCTTACAAACTTGGCATAAGTGGAATAGTATGGTATATTTTTGTAATTCCTTGGCTTTTGTTAAGTTACATTTGGAAGACTCATCTGCATGCAACAATAGTTCATTCTTTGTCATCACGGTATAATATTCCAACAGATGCTTATATTGTAGTATATTCATCCATTCTTCTATTGAGGGATGTTTGGGTTGTTTCTGGTTTGGGACTGTGATCAACATTCATGTATAGATCTTCACGTACAGGACTTTTTCCTAGGGTAGCTACATAGGAGGAGAATTGCTGTGACCTAGAGCGTGTCCATGTTTGCCTTTTATAGATAAAGCCAAACTGTTCTCTAAAGTACTCATTTATATTTCTATTCCCACCAGCCATGCATGAATTCCCGCACCTCTGCATTTTTACCAACCATTGTTATTGTCAGAATTTACAATTTTTCCAACAATGTTAATTTTTTGTGGCTCTAATTTGCATTTCCCAGCTTACTGATACAGCTGAGTGTCTGTCATGTGCTATTGACCATTTCATCTGTGGAATTCGTGTTCAAGTCTGTACTCATTTTTCTATTGGATTGTTTTTGTTTTTTTAAGTGAACTCCACCCCCATGCAGGGCTCGAACTCACAACCCCCAAGATCAAGAGTCCCAGTGCCAGGTGCCCCTGTCTCTAATAGAAATTCTTAGGGCTACTAATCCTTTGTCAGTTATGTTTTGTAAATATCTTCTCCCACCTGTGACTTGTCTTTTCCTCTCTTTCCCATGTCTTTTGAAGAATTGAAGTTCTTCATTTCAAAGGAATCAAATGTATCAATGTTTCTATATTATGGTTGGTGCTGTTTTGTATCTTGCTTAGGAAGTCCTTCTCTCCCCCTACCTAGGTCATGAAGACAGTCTCCTGTAGTATCTTCTAAAGACGATAGTTTTGCTTTTCATGTTTGTCTTTTATCTATGCAGAATTGATTTTTGTGAATGGTTTTCTTTTATTTGTGTGTGTGTGTATGTGAATGGTTTCAAGTAGGGATCCAATAATTCTTTTCCTCAAACAAATGTCCAAATGTCCCCAAGCCATTTGTTGAAAAGTTCATACTTTCCCTGATGATCTCCTCCACCACTGATGTTTATCCTTGTTCCTTTGTGATCTCAACGTGAAAAATTCCAGTGTATCACCATTGGTTTAGATGTTTCCTGTGGCCTTTTGTTTTGGCTTGGGTTTTTAAAGATTTTATCAGGTTAAGGACATTCCCTTCTATTCCTTGTTTGTTAAGAGTTTTTCTCACAAATATGTTGAAGGTTATCTAATATTTTTCTTCATTGAGGTGACCATTTGATTTTTTTTTCTGTCTTAATTTGTTAACCTGGTGGAGGACATTGATTTCCTCTGTTGAACCAACCATGTATTTCCTGGAGTAAGCTCAACTTCGTCATAATTCACTATTCTTTCTATACATTGCTAAATTCTTTGGGCTCTCTCATTTTGTTTATGAGAGAGATAGGCCTGTAATTTTCCATTCCTCTCCTACCTCTGTCAGATTTTGGTAACAACATTATGATGGATCCATAGAATACTTTGGGGAGTGTTTCCTCATTTTATATTACTGGGAAGGTAAGGCTGAGGTTATTTTTTATCACATGTTTGGTAGGACTTGCTGTGAAGCCATCCGGCCTAGTGTTTTCTCTGTGGAAAGATTTTTGACTACTTATTTAATGGCTTTGATGATTTTAGGTGAGGTGGCCATAAAATTTATTATCTAATTCTTTTTTTAAAAGATTTTTTATTTGGGGCGTCTGGGTGGCTCAGTTGTTAAGCGTCTGCCTTCGGCTCAGGTCATGATCCCAGGATCCTGGGATTGAGCCCCGCGTCTGGCTCCCTGCTCCGTGGGAAGCCTGCTTCTCCCTCTCCCACTCCCCCTGCTTGTGTTCCCTCTCTCACTGTGTCTCTCTCTGTCAAGTAAATAAATAAAATCTTTAGAAAAAAAAGATTTTTTATTCACTTGAGAGAGAGAGACGGGGGCAAGAGGGGGAGCACAAGCAGGGGGGAGGGGCAGAGGGAGATAGAAAGGGAGAAGCAGACTCCCCGCTGAGCAGGGAGCCTGATGCGGGGCTCGATCCCAGGACCCTGGGATCATGACCTGAGCCAAAGGCAGACGTTTAACCCACTGAGCCACCCAGGCACCCTTGTATTATCTAATTTTTGAGTCCACTTTGGTAAGTTAAACTTTCCTAAAAATGGGTTTATGTCACCTAAACTTTAACATTGATTGGTATAGAGTTATTGGCAGTATCGTCTTTCTGTGACTATTTTTTAAATCTGCACTGTCTATGGTTTTGACCCATGCTGAAGCTCTACAACCCTGCCTACATCTCTGCTTGGATCGGCATCCTGGCCCGTCTGTTCTCAGCCTTGGTTCCCCCCCAGCTCAGCACTCGGGGATTTTTCTTGTTTTCTGAGCCCTGATTCTAAAGTGCTTAAGCCCTGGCTCTCTCCTGCAGGTCCCCCAAGACCAAGTTCTTCTTCACAGTCATCCCCCAGCCCATCTTGCTGAGCCCGGGCATAACCTTCACACTCCCCATTATCTTCCGGCCTCTGGAGGAGGTAAGGTCTGCCACTTTAAGGGCACTGGCAGGGAGGGACATAGGCGCTGTGACCTTGGAACAGGAAGCAGGGCAGAGCAGCAGGGAGCACCCCCCGCTTCCCCACCAGGACACACACATACTCATCCTGACAGCTGTAGCAGAAACTCCAGCTTGGGAAGCCCTGGAGAGGCTCCGACCCTGAACTCATGAAACCACGGGGGGTTCCTAGTTGGATGTTGGGGGCTAAAATCTGTGCTACTGTGTTAGCCACCAGAAAGCCTTAGATTCCTTAGCCTCTTCCTACTCTCAAAACATTCCCCCAAATACAAAAGAGGCCCCCTGTCTCTGAGACCAAGACCGTGTTAGAGGACACCTCCTCGGACACCGCCCTCGGTGACTGTGTCGGGGGCATGGCCAAGAGCTGGGGTGGGATGTGTGGTCCCTGAGTACCATGCAGATACCACCCATCAACGACTGCCTCCACCCCCGGCCTCCCACCCCCCACATTGCAGAAGGAGTACATGGACCAGCTCTGGTTTGAGAAAGAAGAGGGAATGTTCTGTGTGGACCTGAGGGCCACCCTGCCTTGCCACAGTCTGATCTGCCCACCGTCCCTGCAGTTGCCCATGTGTGCTGTGGGGGACACCGCCGAGGCCTGGTTCTGCCTGGAAAATGTGGGGTGAGGGGAGCAGCTGAGGCTCAGAGGCGGGGAGAGTGAGCTCGGTGAGGCGGGTCCCGGGGTGCTGGTGGGGGAAAGGAGGAGAAGAGGAGCCCAGCATCTCTGCCTTTCTAAAGTAGGGGCAGGGGTCAGAATGAGCCCAGTGGCTCCGATCTGTATCCCCCCCCTCCAGGGACTTGCCCACCTTCTTCACCTGGGAGTTCTCCAGCCCCTTCCATGTACTGCCCACCACGGGGCTGCTGGAGCCAGGCCAGGCTTCCTACATCAAGGTGACCTTTCACCCCCTTTTGGCCATCATCTATGAAGTTCAGGCCACATGCTGGTATGGAGAGGGCAGTAAGCAGAAGAGCAGCATCCAGTTGCAGGCTGTGGGTGAGGCCCGACCCCTCACCTGTCCCCAGAGCCCACTTGCTGCCCCTCCTGGGTCTCAAAGCCTCCATGTGCCCCCCCACGTCCCCCGCTGGCCTGTCCTCCACAGGACCTCCGCCAGCTTCCCACCCTCCCCTAGCCCTGCAGGCTTTGCCTTTCCTTTGCCTTCCTTGATGGGGCAGACCAGTGTTTCCCTGGGGATACCTGCCTTCTTCGAGGGACTGTTCCGCTGGGGCCACAGAGGCCCTGGTGGGTTTCTTCCCGAGACTCCCTCATCTCTGCCCCAGCCAAATGCGCCCAGCTGCTGGTGAGCATAAAGCAGAAGCGACCAGAGGACCAGGATGCTGAAGGCATCCAGAAAGTGCTGCACTTTGGCACCGTCGCTGTGGGCCGCACCGCCGAGAGGCAGATCAAGCTCTATAACCCTTCGGCGGTATGTGTCCTGTGTGTGTGTATGGGGGTGGGGGGGGCAGGACCACAGGACCGGCTGCTCCTAAAACCCATCCCTTTTACAAGATGCCCTCTTTCTCTCCATACTTTTGGCCCCAAGCCTCACATAACCCACGTCTGTTGATACACGCATGTGTCAGGCAACAGGTGTCTTTTCATCTCAGCTGGGGGCTGGGCTGGAGTATCCCTTGACCATCCCCAGAGCAACTCCAAGAGCAGCCCTAAGGTGGTCCTACCTCCAGTACCACAGCTAGCCTTTCTGGTAGCTTTGGGAAAGAAAAGAGTGCCCCCCAGGCAGTCCCAGCGCCCGGCACACTTCCTTCCTCCTGGCAGAGGTGGTCTCCATGCTCCAGCTGACAAGTGGGGCACAGACTGGACTTCAGCTGCCCTCACCCCCTCAGCTGGGCACTTGGGTAAGGACAGCTGCCTCACCCTGTGACCTGACCCTTCCTGCCACCCCCCCCACCACCCCACAGGTGAGCGCCCCCTTCCGGATCGAAGTAGCCCCAGACATGCTGGCCAAAGATCACACCTTCTCGTGCCCCACTACCAATGGCATTGTGCCTCCAGGAGGGGAGAAGTTAGTGTCGGTGTCCTTTCACCCCGAGACCTTGGACGTCAGAACTATTGACTACTTGTCCATCATGCCGTCTGGCTGTGCCTCCCAAACCCTGCTCAAAGTCGTTGGTTTCTGTAGAGGTACTGGCCACCCTAGGACGCCGCACTGCCTCTGGGGCCAGGAGCAGCCCCCGTTTAGGATTGGGAAGGGTTCCTTGCCTGCTTGAAGGGCCTGATGCCTCCTTGCCCTTCAGCCTGGGTGTCTGCTGCCCCCTGGTGGCTCAGTGTGGAATCAGTTTGGGACACCTGGAGATAATGTTCCTGCCCTCACCCCTGGTGAACTTGGAGGTCAGCTCAGGTTGCTGGGGCTCTGGGTCTTTCCAGCCCAGCCTTCAGTCTCCAGGAAGGGCCACCTCCCATCAGGGGACACATTCTGAGACATCCTCTGGGAGGCTGATAGCCCAGCCCCACCCAGGTGACGGGGCTGCTCACAGGAGCCCCATCTCCGCCCAGGTCCTGATGTGTCCCTGAAACATTGCTGTGTCAACTTCAGCTGCGTCAACCTCGGGCAGACCTCAGAGCAGCCCCTGTGGATTGAGAACAAGTCGGACTGCACAGCCTACTTCCAATTTGCCATTGACTGCCAAGAGAGTGTCTTCGGCATCAGACCAGCCTTTGGGACCCTGGTGGGCAAGGCCCGCATGACCCTGCACTGTACCTTCCAGCCCACTCACCCCATCATCTACTCTCGGCGAGTGGCCTGTCTCATTCACCACCAGGTGAGCAGTGGGGGAGGAGGCAAGGAGGGGCTCTCTTGGGCCTTGGAGGAGCCAATCTGCGGCCCAGTGATGAAGACAGTGCTTGGTGACCCCTCTCCTGTATTCTGGAACCTCTGCCTGGATCATCTCTGCCAGGGCCCCGGCCTGGCTTTTGGAGCCAGAGCTCGGCTAACGGCACAGAAAGGTTCACTCCAAGCCAGGTCAAGGGCTTTTCTGCTGCTCCTGCTGCTGCTGCTGATGGGCTGGGGGGAGGGAGGACTGGACTCAGAGTAGAGAGCCTTGAAGTGAGGACCCAACTCAGGGCCGTGGGCAAGATCCTACAAATTGTGCCCTGACCACTTGGCACCTGGTCACATCCCTTTTCGGCGGGGATTGAAATCTGGCCTTACACAGACACATGTCACAGGACCCGCTGTTCCTGGACCTGATTGGGACCTGCCACTCAGACAGCACCAAGCCAGCCATCCTGAGGCCTCAGCACCTCGCTTGGTACCGCACACACCTGGCACGGGGCCTGACGTTCTACCCTCCTGACATCCTGGGCATCTTGCTGAGGGAGAAGAAGCTGGAGCAAGATCAGAATGGGGCCCTCAGGATTCCCACTGAGGTTTGATGGACTGTTTTGGGCCCCCTACAGACAGGCTCCCCTCCCCAGGTTCGTGCCCCCTTCTCTAGAAATTCTTGGCAAGTCATGTTCCCCCAGAGCCCTGTGGGCACCATTAGTAGTTGGGGATGAAAGGGGCATGCAAATGAGGGGCAGTGGCAGGAGGAATGGCAGTGGGCCCCCACTCACCTGTCTCTCCCCACACAGGACCTGGCAGACGCGTCAGCCCTGAAGTATCCTCTCATCCCTCCCATGACTGAGTACTTCGTCGATGGTACCAGCGACATAGCCATCTTCCCCCCACCTGTCAGCATAGAGCCCACTGACGTGGATTTTGGTGCCTGCCCTGGGCCCAAGAACCCCTACCCTGTCCCCCTGTGCTTGATGAACCACACCAAAGGCACAATCACGGTGGTCTGGACGCAGAGGTCTGACTGCCCCTTCTGGGTGACCCCAGACACCTGTGACGTGCCTCCACTCAAGTCCATGGCCATGCGCCTGCACTTCCATCCACCTTACCCCAACTGCCTGTATGCTGTGGAGCTCGAGGCCTTCGCTGTTTATAAGGTGCGTGGGGGCAGTAGAGATCCCACGGGGCTCTCTACGGGGCAGCCCCCACCGCTCCCTCCAACACGGGGGGAGGGCTGCCTCTCTGCCCTGGAGCTTGAATGGCAAGGCGGGGTTGGAGGGAGTGATGGGGGCTGCCGTGGGATCCATCCTCAATGTGCCAAGCTCCTCCTTGGCCACACGGTGGTCCTTACTGGTTTGTCTGCTCCCAGGCTCATAGGCTGCCTTGGCCAAGGGAATTCTTGCCCCATCTGATTACATCTCACGCATATGTGGCCTTCCACTCCCTCCAGAGGGAGAACTCAGCTGGAGTCAAGCCCTTTGGGAAAATTCAGCACACAAGGAGTCACTCCCTGGGGCTCCTGGCTTCTCTCTAGTCCCTGAAGTAGGAAGTGGTCCAGCCAAAAGAGCCATGGGCTGGAACCAGAGCCTGGGGGACCAAGTCAGGGGGGGCCAGATAATTAGGTGTGTGGGGGGGAGGGGCTTCTAGCACAACCTCCCTTGGTTGTGCTCAGCCCAGCCTCTTGGTCACAGACGCTGGTCGCTCCCTCATCTCTGGTCCTGCCTTTTCCCTTCCTTGTCAGCTCTGCCTACGCTGCTGTTCTTTCCCAGGGGCCAGAGTGCTGGGGCTGAGAGATAAGCATCCCTTACTGTGGGTGAGGTGTGTGACCTCTGGCTGTGTGACCCTGAGCAAGTCCCTTAATGTCCCTGAGCCCTGGTCTTCTCATCTAAAAACTTGGGGTCGTATCTGAACTTTTGAGAAGGCTTTCCAAAGCTGAGATTTTAATTGCCTCTGTTCTAATATCTTGGCAGTGGGGGGATGTGGAGGCTTGTAGGAATAAGGCTGTGGACACCTGGCTTTGCCAAGGCTGAGCCTTCCAGATTGTTAGGCTACTGGCTCTGGCCCGGCACTGTCTGATATGACAACCACCAACCACATGGGGCCACCGAGCACCTGCAATGTGGCGAGTCCAAATTGAGACACATTGTATGAGACCCACTGGCTTTCAAAGACTTTGGCGCAAAAAGAATGTAAGGTGTCTCACGTGTCACTTATATATTGATAATAGGTTGAAATGGTAAGATTTTGGATCTCTTGGGGTAAATAAGACGTATCGCTGAAATGAATTTCTCGTTTTTCCCTCTGTTAATGTGGCTGCTAGGACATGTAAAACTACCTTTGCGGCTTGCATTTGTGGCTCGTGTTCTGTTTCTATTGGCCGTCACTTTTCTAGGCACATTCCTGCAGGATGAATGCTGTCTGTGCATCCCAGCCCCGGCGCTGTCGTGGTGCTGCTGCGGTCAGAGTCGTTTTGACAGCTGTCTCTGCACTGTCTTCCCAGGGAGCCCCTCTCCTCCCTCTGTGCCCAGTGTGGGACTCCTGTAGCACAGAGGGGCGGGCTGGGGGGCCCCGCAGGGTCGGACACAGGACTCTCAGCTTGTCCTTGGGTCCGGCCCCCGTGCAGGTCCTGCGGAGCTACAATAACATCGAGGAGGACTGTACCGTGTGTCCCTCCTGGTGCCTGACCCTCCGGGCACGAGGCCACAGCTATCGTGCTGCCCTGGAGCACCACATCCCTCAATATTCCCTGCAGGCCCCCAAGGTGAGCGTGGCCCCAGGAGCAGTGGGAGGTGGGACAGGGGAGCTTGGCTTCTGCCTCGGTCCACACTCTGCTGGCCTCAGATACATCCCAGCACCCTCCCAGGCCATCCCAACCTCCCCACCACGAGGCCCTGGGGCTCTGGTCATGGAGAGCTCTCTTGTGGGCCGGTCTGGGGCTCAAACCCCTGACCCCTCCTTGCTCCATCTGAAATACTCCCTGGGCTTCCCGCACTGAGGTTGAAGATTCTCTAGCTCCTTCATTTTTCTGTGCCTTGTTTGCTGAGCACCTGCTAGGGATCCGACCACCCACCATGAGCCCCTGGCCTTGGAGATTGCGCAGGCTGCTGTGGGTCACAGAGCTGGTCCCTCAGCTTCCTGAGTCATAATTCCCCGGCCTCTCTGAGGAGCCCTTGGAGGCCCTGTCTGACCCGAGCAGCGAGATGACAGAAGGTTTAGAAGCATCAGCTCCAGAGCCAGTCGGCCAAGTTCCAGTCCTGGCTTCTCCTTCGATACCTCTTCCCAGCCTCCCTTACCTTTGTCACCCTTCCCATCCGTCCCCACTGCTCTCATGCCTCATAGTGCTGGAAAGGCGCCCCTCTGGGGCCCTGTGCTGGAGGTGATCCTGCCCCCCACCACCAGCTACACTTCTGCTCTCCAATCCCCAACCGACTTCACCCCCGAGATTCAGCTCAAGTCCCTCCCTGACTGCCCGGGGTTCCCCTCCCGGACTCCCGTCCCTTTCTTTTGACTGGTTTGTCCCAGCAGTTTGTGGCCTTTACTGCTGTCCAGCCGATTCTGGGCCTGGGTTGCCCCCCACCGCCTCACGCACGGGCACGGGCACATCTGCCCCAGCTGGACTGGGCGCCCTGGTCAGCGATCTCGGGCCTTGTGTGATATGGCCGGCCTAGCTCTTAGCCTGCAGCTGGCCATACCCTACGTGCTTTAGGAAGGTTTGGAAGCTGGGATTTCTGGGGCTTTCCCTTTCTCGGAGGTTCCCCTCAGCCATCTGTAAGAGAATTATCTAGAAGGGGCTGCTTATCCCAGAGCTTCTGGACCAGAATCTCTGAAAGTGAATTCTCCAAAGGATGATTTGAGGGCACCCTAAAATGAAAGACCTACTTAACTTTGCAGGGGTGTGGGGGGGTCTCAGATGCCTGCGTTTCCTGGGCCCACTTCCTATAGCCACTCCATCTCCCTGCCTGGAAGTCTCTGGAGGACAGAAGCATTTTTGGGGGCCAAGCTATATCCCCTCTATTCCCTGTTCACAGGGTAGTGACTGGTATGTGTGGAGGTACTTGGCTCTCTTTGGAGACAGGCCCACCCAAACCCACATAGACTTCTCTGAGCCCCTGGGCATCCAGGGAATATCGAGGGATGTGGTGCCCGTGTGCAGATCAGTGGGTTAGGGGAGAGGGAAGCGCACAGATCTGAGCATGGGTCCCTCTTGTCATGCACCCCAGCTCTTTCCTGCAGTGTCCCCCAACGAACCCTCCTACCGTAGCCTGCTGTTGATCAACAAAGGCTCCATGATGTTGACCTTCAACTTGGCCCCCCAAAGCAGCTCAGACATCTCCCTGCGTCCCAGCTCGGGCCTCGTGGCCCCCAGGGCCCACCAGATCTTCCTCGTCTGTACCTACCCCAAGGGCAACTCCTGGAAGCAGCACGTTTTCTACTTGCAGTTCAATTTTTGCCCCCGGTATCTCAAGGTAAAAAGCAAGGCTAGGGGACTGGGTCCTGAGGAGTGGGCCATAGTCTGGGGCTTCCCTTCTCAAAGCCAAATTCTGGGTTTGGCCTCTCTTGCTCCCCTAAAGTAGTCAAGGGGCTGCTTCTCCCCCCAGGAAGTGCCATAGCAGGGAGAAGACCCTTCTGCCACATCTGTGAACAACTTTCCCACCCTCAGGGCCCAGCATGTCCACCTCAAGGTGTCTGGGACAAGAAAAGGGGTGCAGAGGTCCCAAAGGAATGAGTGGGGGCAATATAAGACTCATATCTGCAGGTTGCAGAGGGGCGTTTGGGGCTGGGCCAGGGAAAGGGGCCAGGGTGGTGGGCCCATATCTGGCCTATGAAATGGTCTGTACCGCCTCTCTCAGTCCCTGAGTTCTTTTCAAGAACCATCTCCTGGGTTGGTCACTACCTACTCTGTCTTGCCAGAAGCTGCCCGTGCCCAGGCTTTTTGGACATTTGGGGGAGGGAGCCAGGGCAGCGGGGTGACATCAGGGCACTGCCCTCCTTCCTCCGGCCCTAGGAGGTAAGCATGCAGAGCCGGGAGGAGCCTCTGCAGCTGAAGCTGGACACCTGTAAGCGCGTGTTCTTCAAGCCCACCTGGGTGGGCTGCTCCTCCACCAGCCTCTTCACTTTCCACAACCCCTCGCGTCTGCCCCTGGAGTTTGAATGGAGGATTTCCCAGCTGCACAGAAAGGTGCTGGCCGTCCAGCCTGCTCGGGGACTTATCCAGCCCAGTGAGAGCCTTGTGAGTGCCCCGCCCCACGGCTGGGGGCCCATGCTCCCATCTGCCTGCTCCCCGCCCCCCAGCCAAGGCACGCACTCAGGGACGTCTGCGTGAGCTGGGGTGGGCTGTCTCCAAGGAGAGCCAAGGTCCTCTTCGCTTTCACCATCATCTTTTACTCATGCCTCTCAGAGGCCAGGCTTACAGTGTGCCCCCTCCCATTTAATCCGTAATCACCTCCCCTGCCTTAGAAGTGGGTGGGATGGCTACCATTGTCTTAAAATGCCCTTTTTACAAAGAAGAATCAAAGCTTAGAGAAGAAAAAGCCATTTATGAAGATTACAAATGAGGAGGTGGGGCTGGCACTTGATCCAGTTTCAAGGGGAGAGTCTGCTCTCCATCCCTGGTCCCCAAAGCTGCGAGATCACTGGGAGGTGGTTTGGAGCAGTTGGATTGGGGGCCAAATGGGTGGGTTTCATTAAGGCATGAGGAAGGGGCATCCTCGAGGTCCCAGCAGCAGTCTGGAGGGGGGCACCAGCTGGGGCCCAATCTAGCAGAGCCCCATTCCCTGGACTAGGGCCTTATAGACTAATTGGCCAAACTTGGGCCAAGAACCACCAACACATGGTATCTGGAAGAACCCAGGTAGTAGACAGGGAGGCAAGAGACCACATAGGCTCTGGATTTGGTTTCAGGAGTTTATACTCCAGCTCCCACCAAGCCTCTCGCCAGCCGTGTGACCTTGGGCAAGTTACCCCCACTTCTCTGTCCCAGAAAACGAGGTACTAAATAATACGGCTTACCTCGTGGGGATAAAGGATGGAAGGGCTGAGGGATGTATAGAAAGTGCCCGGCACAGGGCAAATACTCACAAAGGGGTACCATAGCTTGATCTCCAGCAGTGGGACCTCTGGTGGCCAGGAGTCTGGGTAGGGGGTTCTGGAGAGCCCCACACAGGGATGATCTCTGTGGCCCCAGACGCTGACGTGGACCTTCAGCCCTCTGGAGGAGACCAAGTATCTGTTCCGAGTGGGGATGTGGGTCTGGGAAGCCGGTCTGCCCCCAGACACCAAGCCCCCCACCACCACCCACTATATGCTCCGGCTGGTGGGTGTGGGCATCACCAGCAGCCTCTCCGTGAGTAGGAGAACCGTGGCAGGTGGGGCTGGGGAGTTGGGGGCCAGGGCACAGGTGGGAGGGAAGGCCCCAGGGTGCCCAATTCCAAGGGGGCAGGGGATGGGAGCCCTCTGGCCCTCTGGACCTGCCCTGACTTGGAGATTATCTGAGGCCAGGGGTGGGAAAGCCAGGGCTGTGGCTGGCTGACTCTGGGCCTCAGGTGAAGGAAAAGGAGCTGGATTTTGGGAACGTGCTGGTGAACAGCAAACAGTCCAGGTTGCTGATGCTTCTGAACGATGGCAACTGCACTCTTTATTATCGCCTGTTCCTGGAGCAGTGCAGCCCTGAGGTCATGGACGACGGCCCCCTTGGTACTCAGGCCTGGACCGGGATGGGGGCGGGGGGCCGGGGAGGCAGGCAGTGAGGGATGATGGTTAACCAGATCAAGGTTTGGGGGCAGATAGAGCAGGGCTTAACACTTGGTGCTTCCACCTTTTACATGTGTGGCATGGGCCGGTGACTCTCTGAGCCTCAGCTGCCTCATCTGTAAAATGGGACTGTTGCTGGCAATGACCCAAAGACTGGTTTCCTCTGTCTGGTCTGGGAAGAGGGACTGCTCCCTGTTTCCTGGCTCTGGGCCTGCTCTCTGGCCAGTGCTCTGCTGGCCCAGGGGAAGGGTATCTGGAAAGGAGCAGGAGGAGAGGCCGGGACTCTCTGGCCTGCGCTGAGTGCCTCTTCTGCCCTCGGCCCCACCCGGGTCATCCCTGAGCAGCCTTGCAGCTGGACCGCACAGAGGGGAGCATGCCACCCCGGTCCCAGGACACCGTCTGCTTGACTGCTTGTCCCCACCAGCGGTCCCAGTACTGCTGGAAGATCAGCTACTCTCTCCTCTCCCACAGAGGTACCTGGGCCATCTGGCAGAGTCAGGGCCAGGGAGGAAAGGGGGAGGACTGTGTGAGCAGGACTTGGGGTGGGAGGGTGCTGAGGGTCCAGACGGGGCTGGCCGGGTGAGCATTAGCATTCTAGGGTGTGCCTGTGGGGGACTGGCGTGTATGCCTCATACCAAGCGCATCCATTTGTGCAGATGTCTGTGTATGTGTGTGCATGTGTGCACAAAAGAAAAAAAACTGAAGCACTGATATGTGCTTGAATGAATGAATGAATGAATCTTGAAAACATTACGCCAAGTGAAAAAAGCCAGTCACCAAAAGCCACATACTGTATGATTCCATGTATGTGAAATATCCCGAACAGGCAAATCTGTAGATACAGCAGAAAGTAGATCAGTGGTTGCTGGCGGGGGGGGGGGGCAATGGGGGTGACAACTGTTTGGTGCTGGGTTTCTTTTTGGGATGACGAAAATGCTCTAAATTAGTGGTGATGGTTGCACAGCTCTGCATATACGACAAATCCGAATTATATGGGTTAAAAGGGTTAATTTTATGGTATATAAATTCTATCTCAATAAAGCCATTAGTGAGAGTCAGTTTGAAAACAAGTAACAGTGCACAGTTAACACAGTGATGCATGTGGAGCGTTTCGGACAATGCTTGACACATAGAAAGTACCAGATGAGGCTTGGCTGTTGCTGGAAACATCCTAGAGCCTGGGAGACATCTGCTCCTGACAAGGGTCCTGGGCAGGTGGCCAGGGGTCCTACACCCTCAGCCTGCATGCTGTGCCCCAGGGCAGCTGGGAGGTGAGGCCACTCCTCTCTTCCACACCCCATCCTAGATAACAAGGCTGGGAAGAGGCAGGAGCTGTGTCGCGTCTTCCTGATGGCTGTGTACCCCTTACTCTCCATCCTGGATGTCTGCTCCATGGGCAGCGCCAAGGGCATCACCCGGAAACACCTGTGGCACCTCTTTTCCCTGGACAGGCTCAACAGTTACTTGGAGCGTGACCCCACCCCCTGGGAGCTCACCTACAAGGTGCCCACCCGGCACAGGTGAGGTGGGCCCCAGGGAAGGGGCAGGACCTATCTGGGTGTATTCTTGGAGCTTTCTGCCCACACCCCCCCCCAGTACGAGGACCTGTCCATGGAGTGGCTCCCCATCTCCCCCCCACATTCTTGCCCATCCCTGGAGGGGCCTAGAGAAGTCAGGGATTGGCTCAAGGTCTGGCCCCTGCCCCTGAGTCCCAGGTTCTCCCAATTCCCACCTGCAGGAAGATGATTGCCCAGCCAGCCAGCCAGGCAGCCCTGGGAGGGCCCCATACTGTCCCCATCTGTCTCTGGGTCTGTTTCTCTGCTCCACACAGCACAAGCCAGATCCCCACCATCTTCACCCCTCTGAAGCTTGACTTCAATTTTGGGGCAGCACCGATAGAGGCCCTACCCTCAGTGGTGCTCTTGGCCCTGAAGAACAGCGGAGTGGTTCCCCTGGACTGGTACGGCGGGCTTGGAGGGGGCTGCTGAGGGACCCAGGAGACAGGCGCAGGAGGCCGTCTCTGGCTTGGGGTGGACCTGGCTGGGGTCTGTGAGAAGTGGATCCCCTCACTGATAGGGCGGGGAGGCCAGCGTGGGATTGGGGATCACCCTTCAGCACTCCAAACCTGTCACTGCCAGAGACATGTCCATAGGCTCAAGAGTGGGGGAGACTGATGGAGACCAGCACGGTCATCCTAAGCTTAATGAGTGGGGAGTATCCTTTTGGACACCTGCTGCGTGCCAGGCCACTGATTTACGAGCCTTTTCTCCTCCAAGCCTCACACCAACCCTGGGGAAAAAAATCCTCCTCTGCTGACTCTTTTGCCAATGGAGGCTAAGGACTCAGCTAAGGCCGCTCAGCTGTTAGGCAGAGCCAAATTCAAAGCCAGATCGGTAAAGGTTAGTCAGCAAGAAGTCTTCAGAGTGCTCCCGTGTACCAGGCACTGTGCTAGGCAGTGGGGTGCTCCCGACAGAGCTTCAGTCTGGGGAGGCCAGGCCTGCATGGGAGCGAGTTTAGATCTCTGGTGGGGAAGGACAGGGACAGCCTGCCACCAAGCCAGTGTCGGGGAGGAAGATGTGGCTGAGCGAAGCCACGTGGGCTACTGGAAGGCTTGAGGCTGGCTGCGGGGCAGGCTGCACCTCTGCAGTCACAGGGGCCCAGGCCTGGAGCCCTGAGCCTGCCAAGCGTGGACCTTCCTGTGCTTGACTTTCCTCCCGTCGGGGCCCGAACTTGTGCCCAGTAAACATCCTGTTTCCATGCCAGGGCCTTTTCTTGTTCTTCCTCCCTGCCTCTGCCACGTGTCTGGACTTCCTAGTAAATTTCCTTTTGATGACTTCTAACATTTCTTGCCTAAACGGAGGTGAGAAACAAGTGCACCCATCTGGGTAAGGCTTGGGAGAGAGAGCCAGGGGCCCAGCCTGGGAAAATACGTGCGACGGGAGGGGGAGGAGGGGTGCTTCTGTGATCTCAGGAACATTCCTGCCTGAGCAGAGTCTTGGGGTGTGTGGGGGCAAAGCCGGGTTGGGGGCTGCACCATCAGGGGTACAATGGCTGCCCTTACTTTCTGGATTGTCCTGCCCCTGGCTGGGATAAAGGCAACTGGGGAGGCTGGTTCCTTACATGGCTCCTTACGTGGCTCCTGTCTGAGAAGGGCCAGGACTACGAGTAGCTGAGGCCTCCTGGCCCTGATGACTTGAGGAAGCTTGGCAGGCAGGGCTGCTGGCCTGGTGGGGAAGGCCCGGGGTCCGCCTGAGCTCCAAACCCGCCATTCACTGGGGCTACTGGAATGGCCGGAAGCCAGGCGCTACAGGAAAAGCGGCGTTAGTCCGTCCTGGCATGGAGCAGGGTATTTTGGTGGATTATGCATGCAAGTGTGTTTGTGTGGGAGCAAGCCAGCTCACACTCTCTGTGGAGAGAGGCCAGGTGGCTGGAAACCGAGGTGGGAGGAAACCCAGGCACAGTGCCCGTTGAGCTGAGCCTATCCATCAGGAGATCATCTGAGGTTCAGGAAGGGAGTCCGTGCTTCTTCCAGGAGTCCAAGCACAGCGAACCTTCCTTGGAAGGCTTGACTCTCCTAGGTTTTTTTGTGTTGTTGTGTTTCCTTTCAATTTCTTAGAAGGCTATTTTTGAAAATTCTAGCTGGTCTCTGCTGAGCTCATAAAGAACAGACTGAAGGTTTTATTCCTGCCAAGACCAGTAAGAAATGGGGAGTGTGGACCTGGCCTGGAGGCAGCAGCAGGCAGGACAGAGTGAGAACCCCAAGTGGGAGGGGGAGCATCGGAGGAAATAGGAGCCTATAGCTGCCTGCCCCGCTCCCTCTGGGTCTTCTCTGATGCTTCTGCTCCTGGCCCAGGGAGGCGGAGGGCCTTACTGACATCAGATACAGTAGTTAACATCTCCTGGTCCCTCGTGCACTCATTAAGTCTTGACTAAACATTTACGGGGGGCTTCTAGGCCTGGGCTCCCGCCCTGGCCCTCAGAATCAAGGTGCCGACAGGTCCAAGCCTGGCCCTCCGGGTGCTGCAGGGGTCTGGGGCAGGGTGATGGATGCTGAAGAAAGCTACAACTGAGCTAGACCTGCAGCTTAGGGAGAAGACACAGAGAGGCTGCAAAGAACCTTCCAGACAGGGGCACCTGGGTGGCTCAGTCAGTTAAGCCTGCTTTCGGCTCAGGTCATGATCCCAGGGTCCTGGGATCAAGTCCCGCATCAGGCTCCCTGCTTAGTGGGGAGCCTGCTTCTCCCTCTTCATGCTGCTCCCCCTGCTTGTGCTCTCTCTCTAACAAATAAATAAATTAATTAAAAAAAAAAACTTTCCAAACAGAGGTCTTGGTATGTACACGGGTAACAGAAAAGGGCTCAGCCTGGCTGGAGCACTGATAGGGAGGAAGGGGTGCCGGATGTGACTTGAGAGGTGGACGAGGGCCACAACATCGGGACCTTGGCATCCTTCTCCTAAGAGTTTGGACTTCTTCCTGAGGGCATGGTGGCGATGTAAGAGGGGCCGGGGGACAAAGACATGATCTGCCTTTAAGACCTGCCACTCTGGTCTGGGGTGCAGGGTGCAGGGAGAGAAATGGACTAGCAGCCTGAGGCAGGGGAGCAGGCGAGGGGGCCCACACCAGAGGACTGGCAGGGAAGAGCGGGTTGGGATTATTTGGTCGGGGACTGGGTGAGGGCAGCGAGGGAAACAGAGGTGTCGAAACTATCCGGATAACCCCAAAGTAGCAAGATCTCCAGTTTTGCTGCTGATCAGTATCCCTTCAAAAAAATAACAAAAGCAGTTTATTCACCAGTCAAAAGACACAAAGGTGATGGAAGCAGGAAACTCCTCAGCTCCTGCTGCATGTCCACTCTGCTGGGGTGATGGAGGGTTTGAAGGGAGTTTCCATCCTCAGCACTTACAACACACACACACAAACACAGCCCAGGGGTTATTCTGTTTCCCTTGAATTTTTTTTTTTTTTTTTTGCAGTAACAGCTCAATGCTGTACATATTACTTTCTGCCTAGCATTAGATCATTAACATTTTCACTCAGCATTGTGCCAATAACATTCCCTTCAGATCAATACAGATTAACGCATAAAACTCTTGACTCTTTTTTTTAAAAGATTTTTTATTTATTCATCTGAGAGAGAGCGCGTGCGAAAGAGAGAACATGAACCAGGGGCAGGGGGAGGGGCAGAGGGAGAAGCAGACTCCTCGCTGAGCAGGGAGCCCCATGCAATGATGGGATGTGATAAGGGGCTTGATCCCAGGACCCTGCGATCAAGATCTGAGTCCAAGGCAGATGCTTCACCGATGCTTAACCCACTGAGCCACCCCGGCGCCCCTTAACTCTTTCTTTGTAATACTTGGCATAATATTCCGTAATATGAATGGCCCTTAAGTTATTAAACTCCCTGTACTGGGTTGTTTTTTTTTATTGCCACTACAAAGAAAGTTGTAATAAACTTGTGTGTGAGCGTGAGCACGCATGCATTTATTCCCGCAGGGTACTTCCCCAGGAGAGAATGTCTGAGTCAAAGGGCTCATGCGGTTTTTATTCTAGTAGACACTGTCAAAATTCCTACAACAAAAGGTGTAGCCATACCTTCTCTCTCTACCTGTTTGAAGGTGTCCATTCTCTCTAAACTTACCAGTATCGAGTAGAACTGTTTACCCCGTTGCTAATGTGAAACTATTTAAGACTGATTGAAGGGAGTCGTGATTTGTGATTTCCTTGACTCTTTGTTGAGCATTTCCCCTTTTGGCTGCTCCCCGTTCATGCCGTCTGCCCAGTGTTAGGCCAGTTCTGTGCCATGTCTCTGCAAGTGAAGGGGTCCTCCTTTTCAGATCGTAACCCAGGGAACCCTTCACCGCTTGTTTTGTCAACCAGCTAGAGTGCAGTATCTACTTTCCTACAACGTGAGGCATTTGGGGGGGCGTTAATTCTATGCCCAGACTTGCTCCAGATTCAAGAATGCCAGCCCTGCTGGGGCATCTCTTCTCTGCCCTATGCTCCTGCTGACCTAGACACCCTCCCTCTCGGTGGGGGGGCGGGGTGCCTGGTTGGTGCTGCTGGCGTTTTTAGATGCTTCAAATGGCCCTTCCTAAGAGCTTTATCACACAAACTACTCCCCCCCTGGGGTTAGTGACTGGCTAGCTCACCGTTACCCACATACACAAGTAGTCCCCCTAGATCCATGTCCCCCACAATGGAAGCCCCAATATCCACTTTCCACTTTGTCACCAGGGACCTGCTGCCATTCCTGGGTTTGGGTTTGGGGGCCATTATGAAGTGAGAATCCACCATAGCATGTTTGCTCAGCCATGCATGGGGCAGCTTGCCAAATCGGGGGAGCATCCACTCTGCTTGCAGCTCAGAGCCCCTGCCTCTCTGTTCTAAGAGGCTTGCACCCCTCTTCCAGGGCCTTCCTCTTTCCAAGTGACCAGCAGATTGACCTGGAGCTGTGGGCACAGCAAGCAGAGTTTGACGCCACCGAGCTTCACCAAATGCGTGTGCAGGACAACTGCATATTCTCCATCAGCCCCAAGGCTGGGAGCCTGAGTCCTGGACAAGAGCAGGTGGTGGAACTCAAATACAGGTGCTCCTCCCACTGCCTGTCCTACACTTCCAGTCCTGGAGACCCTGCCCCCACCCCTCCCTTTCTCTGCGCTCCTGGAGGAGCTTGGCCTTGCACTCTGTGACTCCAGAGTACCTTAAGTGCCCACCGCCAGGGGAGGACCCCGTCCACCCACTTGGCGGGGAGGTTTCATGTCCCTCTTGCCCCATCCCAGCTCAGAGGTTTCCACATGCTTCCAGGGGCTTTGCTCTCTTGCTGGTACCGGGGCTCCATAACGCAGCCCAGATTCATCTCTTCCCTTCCAGCCACGTGTTCGTGGGCACCGATCGCCTCCCGGTGCTCTTCAAAGTGTCCCATGGCCGGGAGATCCTGGTGAGACCCCAGACCTCGTCTTGTCCTGGACTCCTGAGAGAGGAGCAGGGAACTATGCCCCCCGGGGAGCTAGGGTCCAGATCTTTCTGCTGGGTACTTCCGTTTCTCCCAGGGAAGGATGCTACTCATGGGTTTTGTATTTCCAGCTAAATTTCATAGGTGTGACAGTGAAGCTGGAGCAAAAGTACGTGCACTTCACCTCCACTAGCCACCAGTTCGTCCCTGTCCCCATCGGCGACACACTGCCCCCAAGGCAGGTCAGTGGTCTACATTGTCCTGGTTCCCAAGAAGCCTAAGCATTGATCTCTGTGTATCTGCATCAGCCTTTTACAGGGTGACAAAGACCCTACCCTCCAGAAGTCCTCACTCTAAGAGGTGGGGCTACAGGTCAAACCCCGAGTTTGGGCAACTAGGAGAGATCCAAGGTGAGAGGCTTCCGCTTCCTGGTGCTTGGTGCTAAGTAAGCCCTTTGCCAGGCCTTGTTCCTGTGCCCCCATGCAAAAGCAGGGGGTTCTCTCTTCTGGCACAAGATTCTTCAAACTTCTTTGATCATGAATCACACTAATATATTTTGGATAATAACCCAGTAAGTACATACATACACATATACTTAAAGTACCACAAATGAATATATACACTACTACACGCAAAGCAGTCTGATGTTTTCCATTTTTATTTTATTCTGTTCCACCTGCTAAATTGCTTTCATGATCTGCTCACTAATAGGTCTCAGCCCCAGGTTGAAAATCACTGCTCCAGGAAGGACATTTTTCTGGAGTGTGAAAAACGAGACTGAATCCTTGCGAAACCATAGAATTTTCTTTATCAAGTGGAGGGAATTGGGTTCCTTTGCTCTGAAAATGTACATTGGAAATCTCCCAGAGGGGGACATAGTATTTTCCCAAACATGCCATAGCTGTGAAATTTCTAACTATTTAGAAGTCCTTGTATTTCTGAGCAGAGGCCTCTGGTCATCCAGCCTAGAGTCAGAGGAATGGGCTTTCTGAACCTGAGAGGGTGGGACCCCTAGCCCTGAGCTCTGTATGCTTCCCTACACCACCCTCTACCCTACTGGCTTCCTGGAAGCCACCCCCCTCCCCCCCAAAACAGGGCTGCAGAGACCCATGTCCTTGAAAAGGAAGGCAAAGACTCAGTGCCCCCTGGAGAGCTTTCCTGAGAGACTAGACCACTTCCCTGTGGCTCTGAACATAGACAATGAAAAATGCCCCCAGATCTAGAGCAAGGAGACCCAACTGTGCCTCCAACCAATCTCCACAACTGTGGCCAAGCTTCTGCTTTCATTCATGAGATGATGACAGATGGTGGCCTGGATCCATAAGAGGACAGCAGAAGTAGAAGTGAACAGATTTAATTTATATTTTAGAGGCAGAATCATTGGGACTTGCTGGGGCCAGTTTGGGAAAGTGGGAGAAAGGGAGGGATCGAGATGTATTGAATTCCTAGTTTGAGCATTTACTGAAAGGAGATTCCGGGGTGGGGGTAGAACTTTCTAGTGAAGAGTTTGGTTTTTACCAAATTTGAGATGTCTGTGAGACAATCAGTGGCTGGTGAGGGGGCAGGGAGGGCTTGTGGAGTGGAAGTTGGATACCAGGTCTGGAGCTCAGAGGTGGCCCAGGCTAGAGAAATAAAATCAGCATATTCAGGAGTGGGTGCTGGGAAAGATGAGGGGGCAAGACCTAGATCCAAACAAACTGTTTGCTCTCTCTGGCTTCCATTTTCTAATCCTAAAATGAGGGATTGGACCAGAAGATCTCAGGTTGCTTCCAGGACATTCTGTGATTCCCACACTTTGGATTTAGTCTTGGGGGATGTCATAGCTTCCTTTCCCTCCCTCATCTGCCCTTAAGCAGGACTGCCTGTAAGGGCAGACGTGGAAAGTGGCAGCCTCCTGGGTGATTAAAGTGAGAGCCTTGAAGATGCTGAAGGGTCTGGAGGGTGTGTGCATGGACACTTCTGTAAATCCCCACACTAGAGACACGAGCCTTAGTGTCCCCTTATACCTTGGCAAAAGTAAATTAAGAGCAAATAAAATAAGGATTACAGATTATCCTAAAATGTCCCAGACTGAAAATACAATTACATACTTCTTGGATCATTGGGCCATAAGGGAAATTAGAGGTAGTTAGGGGGCTCTGGGGCTGTAAGGGGGACATCATGGAGATCAGCCTGCCCTCCCGCAGTGGACACAGGACCCCAGGCTCTCTGCTTTGCAGCCCTGAGTTGGTGTGGAGGTTTCATTATTCCCGCCCCCCTACCCCGCCTGCAGATTTATGAGCTGTATAATGGTGGCTCGGTGCCCGTGACATACGAGATCCAGACGAACATCCTGTCGCAGGTTCAGGAAAAAAATTTCAATCACCCCATCTTCAGCTGCCTCAACCCCCAAGGGGAGATCCAGCCAGGCACAACTGCTCAGGTCTTGTGGATCTTCTCACCTATTGAGGCCAAGACCTACACCGTGAGCCGCAGCCTGGGCTGATTATGGGTGGAGGTTGGTGTTGGCTTCCTCAGCAAGCCGTGCTCTGACCAGTCCCTTCCCCACCCTCCTAACTTCCTAGGTGGATGTGCCCATACACGTCCTGGGATGGAACTCAGCCATGATCCGCTTCCAGGGAGTGGGCTATGACCCCCATGTCATGGGAGACACAGCCCCATTCCACAACATCTCCTCTTGGCATGACAACCCCAAGCATACTAGGCTGATGGTTCCTGGACAGGTAGGGGGAAGGGAGGTAGGAAGGCCTGAGGCTTAGAAGGGCCCCGGGGGGCCAGTGCAGAGGGAAGCTGGGAAGGAAATGTGATGGAGGCGATAAGGGAAGGATGCAGAGGGGAAGCCTGGAACCAGCCCTCACCGAGATCCAGCAGGCAGCACCCGCTCCACGAGAGGCTTACCCTGCCACCTAGTGCCCATAGGTGTTCCTGCTCAAGTCACTCTGAGCATTGGGATGGGGATTTTGGAAGGGGTAGAAGGAAGCTCTCCCATTTTAGGGCTGTAAAGTATTATCTTCATCCAGAACAGTCCATTCCTGGACCTAGATGGATTTTGCTGTAAGGTATCCAAGGTCAATAACCCCATCTTTAGTTCAAACACACCCCAATGTTGGGATGTCTGACCCATTCATTCATCCACCCATCCATCCATCTCCTCCCCATTGGCCCACATGCCCATTTACTGATCCATCCAGCCACCCATCTACCCACTTCTCCATCCATCCTTCCATACAGCCGTCCAGTCACTATATACCCATACATCGGCCTGTCCACCCTTCCACTCCTACCCTTTCTGGACCGTAACTGCATGATGAGCACTATGGAGGCCCTGAAGACACAAAGAAGAGCCAAAGTCCCAGACCTGGAGACACTCAGGGTCTGGACAGAGAGAAAGTGCCCCTTCCATGTGGCCTCAGTCTTTCCAGACCCCCTACTGTTCTGTTCCTATTTGAAGATGCCAACTGCCCATCCCCCCATTCATTTACAACTATCCTTCAGGGATTCAAATTACACTGGCTTTAGTTCTGTCTTCTCTAAGCAAATTCTGATTTCTCAGCCCTTCCAAGCCTATTTTAATGGTCAAAAGCCTAGACTTTAGAGTGAGACTGGGTTTATCCCCACTGTGCCTGTAAGAGACCTTTGGAAAAATTCTTTATGCCCTCTAAACCTTAGCAGCACATCTATCTGTAAAGTGGGGACGATAATACAAATATCACAGGGCCATGGTGAGGACCAAATGTGTGTGAATGGCCTACCATGGTGCCTGCTGAAGGCACTCAGTAACTGGGAGAGGTTGCTATGGTTATGATTTTGTCACCGCCCAAAGTGGCTGTTGTGTTGTCTCCACCAACAGAATGTCTTCCTGTCCCAGTCCCATATCTCGCTGGGGAACATTCCTGTGCAGACTAAGTGCAGCCGCCTGCTGTTCCTCAACAACATCTCCAAGAACGAGCCAGTTGTCTTTGAGTGGCAGCTGAAGCCTCTAGACTTTGGGGAGGTGAGAGTCCCCTATTTCCGCAGAATTAGAACCTCTAGCAGGGCTCCAGGCCCACCCTATTCCACCCCACCCTATCCCATCTTGTCTCATCTTACCCCATCCCACCCCACCACCCACCCCAGGCCATCCCATCCCGCCCCATTCCATCCCACCCCATACCACTGAATTCCAACCCATCTTATCCCATTCCATCCAACCCCACCCCATCCCACCCCATCCCATTCCATCCCACTGAATCCCACCCCATCCTAACCCATCTTACCCCATCTAACCCCACCCCACCCCATTCCAGTCCATCCCATCCCACCCCATCATACCCACCCCATTTCATCCCACTCTATCCCATTCCTGTGAAGCTCCAAAGACCCCTTCCCCCAAACAGGTGTCTGTGAGTCCCATGACAGGGAAGGTGGCTCCTGAAGAAACAGTCCCATTTGTGGTGACCTTGAAGACCTCAGTGCATGCCAGCTTCTACAGCATAGACCTGGTATGCAAGGTAGGACCAGCACCAGAGTGAAGCTAGGATGGAGCATGGCTCCCAGTACTGGGATGTGGGTGAGCTATGAGATCCCCAGACCTTCACAGAAAGGCGGGGGCCAGCCCCTGGGGAGTGGGGGGTGGGGGTCCATGGCACACAGGTGCTCCAGACCTTGGCCTTCTCTCTCCTTGTCCTGGGCTATAGGTATACCGACAGAAACTCCTGAATCAGTACCATAAGGAACTACAGGAGTGGAAGGATGAGGAAGTTCGACAGGAGGTGGAGTTCACCATCACAGATAGGAAAGGGAAGGTGAGGAGGCCAGAGTGAGCCTTGAACACCACAGATCTTTCTGATTGGCTTTACCAAGGGGGGACAGAGGCGGTGATGTGAGGTGGTCCTATGTGCAAAACTGGCCAGCCTGTCCTAGATTAGCTTGCTTTCATTAGACCAAGCATAGCCTCTCCCCAAGAGACTGTCTTCTGGACTCAGAAGACTGGCTGACCATTCCCTGCCTCACGTAGCCAGTGTTTAATGGGTGCCTGCTAAGCGCTGGGCACCGGGGACCCAGGGGAGACAAGACAGCTCACCCTCTGATGGAAGACGGTGTGGGACAAGGGTTTTGGGGGCAGGCTCTGGAGACAAGTTGCCCAGTTTTGATTCTGGCTTTGATGATTTCTAGTTCTGGGATCTTGGTCAAGTTACTTAACATAACATCTCAGTTCCCTCAACTATAAAATAGGGGTAATGTTACATCTGGGATTGACTTCAAGATAATCCAGGGGCACCTGATGGCACAGTTGGGGAAGCGTCTGACTCTTGATTTTGGCTCAGGTCATGATCTCAGGGTCATGGGACTGAGGTCAGGCTCTGCCCTCAGTAGGGAGTCTGCTTGAGATTTTCCCTCTCCCCCTGCCTCTGCCCTTCCCCCCCTGCTCCCACAAGTGTGTGTGCACACGCGCGCTCTCTCTCTCAAATAAATAAATAAATCTTAAAAAAAAAAAAGATAATCCAGAGGTGGGGCACAGATGAGACAAGATTGGCCATGAGCTGCTGATTGTTGAAGCTGGGTGATGGGTAACAGAGGACTCTGTACGTTCTCTCTACTGTCCTATACATTTGAAATTTTCCATATTAAGAAGGTTAAAAGTAAAGGTTTAAAAAATATTTTGAATGCAAGTAAAATAGTGCCTACTTCGCAGCACTGTTGTGAGGATTGAATGAGCTAAAGCACGTACAGTGCCTACAGCAGTGTAAGCAGTAAGCATGCACTAAGCAGGCTATTCGTATCTGTAGGGGAGCTGGAGAGTAAATGTGAGACAGAACAGCTCCCTTCTCCCTCTTCCAGTCTCCCAGCCTCCTTGTGCTGGTATTCTTGCACCTTGCTCACCTCTGCACTCACCACACTCAGCCCCCGGGGAGGCACCACTCCCCTCTGAAGCTCTGGCCCAACTATGAATGCAAATCATGTCTGGACGGTGCGGGAGAAGGGATTTCTGAATGAAATCTTCATAAAGGAGAGTATTTGTGACCCGAGGCACAAGGACAAGCACCCTTGGTACAGCCTGCCTACATTTGGTGGCATCGCCTTTTCTTTCCTCTGGTTGGGTGATCTGATTTTCCTTGTCTGCAGGGAGCACTTCCCTAAAGAAGGTCCTGGAAGGGGGTGTGGCTGGGAGTTGGGTGAGATCAAGAGGGCAGCAGGTCCTGGCATTGGCTTCCAGCCCCTCACCCTCACCCCATGGGTTGGCAGAAAGGTAAGAAGAGAGGAGCTCCTCTAGGCTTCTTGTATCCTAAGCACGGGTCTCTTTGCTTTCACAGGGAGGAGCATATTGTAGAGCTTGTGCACCTAGGAGGAGGTACAGGGTGAGCTCATAAGCCCCGTCTCCTTGGGATAAATTGAGAGGTCCTTGCTTGCTCCCAGAGATACCTCCAACTGCTGGCCCAGCCTCCTAGAAGGGAGGGATGGAAGTGCCAATGGGTGGGGTCACACTCCGATTTGGCTCCAAAGGCCTGGTTGGGGCTAGGGACCCAGCAGTGAGGCAGTGACGTCCCCAAACCCCTGTCATCCATGTCTTCCCCTTTCCAAAGACACTGCCCCCCATCAAGAATCAGCAGCCTCTCAACCGGCCTGTCAGCTGGAACCTTAAGATCCCAAAGAAGAAGATATTCTGGCTCTGTCCCCAGCCACCCTTGCCAGACATGCTGTGCTTGGGCCTCACGGCCCGTGCTCATGCCACTGACTACTTCCTGGCCAACTTCTTCTCCGACTTTCCCCAGCACTTCCTGCACCGGTGAATTCTCAGGGAGGGAGGGGTCTCTACCCCCTGGGGAACACCCCTAGGCCTCCTGCCCCACCTCCTTCCTCCCCTTTCCAATTTGGAGCCTCTCCAGGTCCTGCGCCAACCTTGAGGTTTGGGCTTCAGTCCCCAAATGCAGTAGCACTACACTTGGGCCAAGGCGGGGGGGCTGTCCCAAGCTCATCTATGTTCTCATGACTGCATGGCCACCGCCACTGCTCGTGACCCTACCCCCAGCCTGGTGGCTTGCCCAGGCCACTCAGAATGTCATGGCCTGCTCCAGGGAGCTGCCAAAGAGGAAATACCCCAAGGAGGAGTTGGAGGCTTCTGAGGGAGAATCCCCAGACAATTGGGCACCTGTCTCCAAGCAGGAGAAGCAGCTCCTGATTGACTGTCTCACCGCCATCATCAGGTACCCCCCTGGACCCTCACCATCCCCCTCATCTCAGCAGCTTATTCACCCAGCTCTGTGTCCACCCGTGGCCCCTGAAGCCCCAGCCCTTCCTTTCCTGAAAAATAGAACTTCCTCACAAGATCCTTCCACTGGTGGTCCCAGGCCCTGCAGGATGGGGGCAGCTCTAATGGAGCTTGCTAGAAGGATCCTCAGGGCTGGATCCTGAGTTCTGTCCTGTCCAGGGCTAGTAGATAAGGTCTGAGCCAGTTCACTGTTTCCCCCGGGGTTCCTGTCCCTTATCTGTGTAACTCTGACCTCCTGGCTCTGCCTCTTAAGAACCCACGGAGCCCAGAGAAGCCTTCCTCCAAAGGACGGGTGGGCGGGGCAACTGACTTAAGGGCTGGCTTCCCACATCCAGCACCCATTTGTAGACGTAGAAGTCAGAACTGCCCCTTGAGGAACTCTGGAGCCAGAGCCCCACAGGGGTTGCAAAGCCCCCTCGCAAGTCCTCTTGGCAAGGGCCTCCTCCTCCTTGCCATGCAGGGGTCTGCTAGAAGACAAGGTCTTCCATGAGGCCGTGAACCAAAGCCTGGTGGAGAAGATGCCTTACTTCTGCCAGTTCTGGAATGAGCAGTCAGCCAAGTTCACAGCCCAGAACAACACCCTGCAGTTAGCACCAGTCCTGTCTCCATCCGCCAGCAGCTGGGAGGGCAGCAGAGACAAGGAGTCTGAGGACGACAAACTGAGGCTGGAGAAGAAAATGGGGGAAGCGGAGGAGAAGAGCGAAGAGGAAGAGGAGGAGCTGGAGGAGGAAGAGGAGGAAGAGGAGGAGATGGAAGAGGAGGAGCAGGAGGAGGAGGAGCGGGGGGAGAAGGAAGAGAAGGTGCCCTGGACGGGGACTGAGCCCACACTGCAGCCCACGGCCCAGGAGTCCCTGAAATGTCAGTGGCAGCAGCAGCTGAAGGTCATGGTGAAAGAGGAGCAAGAACAGGATGAGAAGGAGACCACCAGCCGGTGAGCAGCCAGACCCAGATGAGGGTTCGCACGGCAGGGTGTGCAGAAGGATCCCAGGAGGCAGTGGGGTGCTGGGGCCAGCCTCTGGCTGGGTGTAAGGCTCTTCCCAGCTCCGCGTTCACTGACATCCCGCTGGTGGCTTAAGGCCTTCTGAGCTTTAGTCTGTCCCTCCAAGACCTGGCCGTTAACATTTTCTAGCACACCACTTTCAGGGGGTCGTTCAGTGGATTTCTAGAGCCAGGAGAGAAGTGCCACCGCTTCCCGGAGGGCCTTTGTCCGGGGCTGCTCTGTGGCCCTCCCTGTCCATGTTGGGATTCCTTAGGCCCCAGCCAGTCCCTTGGGCCCCTCTCACAGCTTGATGCCTCCTCCCCACACCTGGCGCTGAGATGGGACCTACAGTTGCCTGGACTCTGGTCCCACCACTTGTTCCAGCAGCAGGACGTTTGGCAACTTGGTCCCTTTAAGCCACAATTTGAGCGTCTGTAAAATTGGAACAAAGATGCCTTATAGTGCTGGGAGGGCGGGGGGTGGAATGAGAACCCGCGGAGATATAGCCCAGGGCACACAGTGTACAGCAGCAAGAGGCCCGCGGAGAAGGCGAGCGCAGTGGATGGCGGTGCTGACACCCGCATCCTCCACCCCCACCACACACCCCACCCCCCGCAGGCTCCCGGCGTTCGCCAACCTGCAGGAGGCGCTGCTGGAGAACATGATCCAGAACATCCTGGTGGAGGCGAGCCGCGGGGAGGTGGTTCTCACCTCGCGGCCGCGCGTCATCGCCCTGCCGCCGCTCAGCGTTTCCAGGTGGGGACGCCGACTGCGCCGGAGGGGCGCGAGGGGCGGCAGGGGCGGGCAGACTTGGCTCGAAGTCTCTCTCCAACCTCTCCCTGGGGCTTTCTGTCTTCCAGGATTGAGACTCCCGACTTGCTTTCGGCGGCGCCCCTCGGGCCGCAGCATGCCGAGGTGCCCTGCCTGGTGGCGCGGCCCCCTACCGACTCTTTGAGGATGCCACAGTCCAGCCCCTCCGACTTGCTGCCCTCAGGGCCCCCCTCTCCACCGCCCCACCACTAAAGCATCTAGCCTTCTGTATCTGCCTTGACTTTATTTCCCCGACGTAGGAGGAATTCTCGAGCGCGCTCTGGGAGGGACAGATGGTTGGAGCGGCCGAGGTGGACTGCAGCGACTCGTTGCAGCCTTGGGTGCTGGGAGGTTGCTTCTCTCCCCTCCACAGCGCAGCTGGGCCAGAGTTCCGGCTGCTCGCTGCCCGGCGCTGGACCTGGTTTGGCCAGTGGAGGGCGCTTCCGGCGGGGCCTAACTGGCCTTTGCCCCAGCATTGCCTGGGGGACAGGAACTGAGCGCCAGGCCTTATCGGCGCAGCAGGTGGCTGCAGGGCGAGGTGACCACCCCTCCCCTTTCCCCGTTGCGCCTGCTCCGAGGCTCGGTCCCTGCATCGCCAGCCTTTTCTCGGCATGTGTCGGGCTCCCGGGACTGTGCTGAGAGGTTGAGAAGAAAGGGAAACCGAGGCACGTCGCGGAGGGCTAAGAGCTACACTCTGGGTTGCGGGTGGAGGTCACAGCTAGACAGCGGGCCACAGGCTCTACTAAGCGACTCCCATCGTGAACCTGAATCCCCAGCCCAGGTGATGTCCGGCCTTCCCTAGGATACCCACCTCCCGCTCCCCCTAACCTCCTCCCGGCAGCCTCTGTCTTCTGCAACTCCACCCCCCTCCAGGCAGGTGGGTGGAAAAGTGACATCTGGTGTTGTTCCAGAGGCGCCCAGGTCCCCGACAGCCCCCCCCCCCACCCCGCCGCCGCGGCCAAGGCCTCGGAAGAGCTCCGGCCCCAGAACCCAGGCGGGGGCGGGGAGGGGGTGGGGGCGCTCCGCCTCCTCTGAGTCAATATTTGCTCCGAGCAAACTGGCGCCCGGACAGGTGTGAGTGTGTGTGTGTGTATGTATGTGTGTGTGTGTGTGTAGGGGCGGGGACTGAGCAGGCAGTATAAGAGCGCGCTGAGCCCAGGCTCCTGCACAAGCTCCGGGGAGTGGGCTGGGGACCAAGCCAAGCAGAGCCCGGCCAGGTGAAGGGTGGCCAGGAAGGGAGGAAGGGAGGGGCGGGCCAGGTGCGCACCCGCGGTGGCCGCCTGGGCGGGCGACGTGTCAGCCGCAGATGCGCGCAGGTGAGGGCGGCGGCTAGCGGCGCGCTGTGCGGCACGGCGCTCGCAGAAGACCAGGACCAGGAGATCGCCCAGGGCCACAGCCAGGCCCCCTGGCCCTCCGCTCCCGCCCCGCGACGAGCCCCTCGCACAAACCGGACCTGAGCGTTTTGTTCGTTCGGCTCGCGTGAGGCAGGGGTGGCCTCTCAGCACCCGCCCGGGGGCCAGGCTCGACCGCCACGCAGGCACCTGCCGCCGCCGCCGCCGTATGGGGACGGAGAGGCTGTGCGCCGCTCCCAGGGGAGATCCGGCTCCCATCCGGCCCCGCCCGCCCTGCCTTGTCCTGCCCGTAACTCCAGGGCTGCCCGGCTTGATTCCGGGTAGTATGGGCCGGCCGAACAGGCTCCACCGGGTGGCATAAGGGGCTGTGGCAGAAACAGGAGCCCTCTGGAAGTGGAAACCCAGCTTCTAGTCCGGCTCTGTCCCAGCGACTTCTGTGGCCTTGGGCAAGTCATTTCCCAGCCTCTCCTCGGGTTTTCCTCTTTGCTCAATGAGAGGGATCGGTCTGGCCTGCTGCGAGCACCTCACCAGTCCCCAGATCCTGGTTTCTGGGCTTCCAGCAATAATTCTGAGCCACCTGACCTGGGAAGTTGGAGGCCCTCAAGAGGTTGGAGCAGTAGCGGGGGAGTGGGGGGGTGGAAAAGCTGGGTTGGGAGAGTTAGAGCCAGATGAAGATCAAGTGTGCTTCTCTGGATCTGTTTGCTGCTGACATCCTGGGGGTTCACTCCCTGCCCTCTCCCTGGCCCCTCTCAGTCGTCCCATGTGTGAGACAGACAGACTGATTGAAAAGGACAAACACGGGGTCCGGTAGCCCTTGCCAGATGGGGTCCCCAGGGACTGCAGCTCACCGCCTTTCCCAAACTCCATAATCCCAAGGCCTCCTGTTTCATGCAGCTACAGGTGGGGTGAGGGTGGGTGTGAATGGCCTTCTTCCTAGGCAGGAGCCCATGGATTATTAGCCACCACCCAAACCTGAGACAGACTGGCCCCTTCTGCAGTGATTCCAAGTGCTAAGGTCTGACATGGGGGAGGGAGTGGAGATTGCCCGAGACCCTGGCCTCCCTCCTGGAGAGTCTAGAACTGAGAGTTCCACACACAGCCTGAGGTCAGTCTGAGCCCTTAGCCCAGTCTCTGTCCTTTGACCTGGGGTGTCCTCCATTCCTCCTCCCCAAAATTGATGGTGGTGCTGGTCTAGCCCCAGAGAGAGGGGCTTGTTGTAGGTCCGAAGCGGAGAGAAGCCTCAGCAGTAAGGAGCTACAGTTTCCCCTTAGAGTGAGGAAGCATCATGGGCTATGGACTATACCACCGCACACCCAGGCAGATGTAGTCCCCTCTCCCACCCCCCCAGGAGAGAGAGAGAGAGAGAGAGAACGAACGAGGGTCAGGAGTCACTGGTCCCTTCCAGCGCCATTTTGGATGTTCCTGGAGGTGCTGTCTTGTCCCTTCTACCTGTCCCCTGCCCCCTCCCCCCCATCCCCACCCAACTACCCGCAGGCCCCGTGGGATCTGCTGAGTCCTCTATGCAGAGAAAAGGGAGGGGGAGGGGACGAGGTGGCTCTGACAGATTCCAGGCGGTTCTGGGAGGGGGTGGACTGCAGCAGCCCTGGGGAGGGAGGCATCTATGGGTCCCCAGGCTGGGCTGGGGTGTGTGCAGCCCCCATCCTGCCCTCCCTGACCAGACTTCTGTGCTGGGCCCAGCCCTCTGCTCCTTGCCTGGCCCCATGATTTGCCTGTCAGGGGCCGGGCCTGGCCCCGGCACATCTTTCCTGGGTCTGTGAGGGCTTCCTCTTCCCTCCCTAATCATGGAAGGGGGCTAGAGCTCCCCACCTCGGGCTGGGATTTCAGATTTGGGGTTGCACAATGAAGAGAGCTCCCCCTGAAATTACCCTCTTCCCCACACATAGTCATTGGGGTAGGGGGGGTTGGGAAGAATGAGGCCGCCAGTGGACTGGGTCTGCTCTTGTGACAGAGCCACCGCCTCCCCCCTACCCAGGGGCCTAAATTCCCCAGACCTCCACCCCCTATCCCCAAGACCCGCATTTCCTGACCGAGGCCAGAAATCAGGCCTCTCGTCCAGGTTCCTCCTCCCTGCCCGGCCAGGGGTGGAGACTCCAGGCGCCAGGCTGGCCTGCAGGTGCGGGGCTTGGGGAGGGGGGGGTGCTCAGCAGCTGGTGTTCGAGCAGCCCCCTTACCCCTCCCCCTTCCTGCTCCCAGCCGGAGCCTGCTTCCTGTCATCCCTGTCAGCACCGCAGGCGGGGGAGGGGACAGGTAGTGGAGGAAGGGGGGGCGGGGGGGGAGGGACTGAGCAGTTGGAGTGCGGGCAGCCGCGGGACTGGGAGAGCACGGAGGAGAAATGGGGAGGGGAGAAGCAGAGCAGAAAACACAAGCAGGGCAGAAAGCCAGCGGATGCAGCCCAGAGGGATGGGAGACCCAGGGGAGATTTCAGGACCTGGAGAGGCTGCAGCCCTCCCCAATCCCCCGTGAAAGCCAGAGCTAGGGAGAGGGCAGAGACAACCAGAGAGAAACCAGAGAAGAACAGAGGCAACCAGACATAACCAGAGACGTACAATTCTGAGAGACAGAGAGATGTGGAGATGCCAGGTCAAAGGTCAGGGTAACCGGAGGTGGAAGGCATAGTGTGTGTGGAGGTAGGGGTCCACCAAGTGAGAACAGCCTCCATCCCCACATTGGGGGAAATTACCCCCAAGAGAGGAGAGAGAGAGGTGGCCTCTACAGCCAGGGAGTAGGGCTGATAACCCTTCTCTTGGGAGACCCATCTCCCCATTAAAGGGCAAAAGACAAAGAGGGTCAAGACTCGGGCCCCGCTGGACACTGAGCAGTGACGGGCATGGGTCTGAGCCCATCTCTGTCCTTTTCTCTCCTGTCCACAGCTATAGAGACAGCTTTGGCAGCCGACCTGACCCCTACCCACCTACTGGTTGTGGCCCAGCCTTGGAACCTCTGCCCAGGGTCTACGTGAGACTCAGGGCACCTGGGAGTGGAGGCACCAGTGGGGGGGAGGTTCATAACCAGGTGCTAATCCCCATCCGACCAAGGTAGGACCAGAACCTCACTGACCTTCTTAGAGATTAGTCCCCATGGCGACCTTGGCAACTCGCCCCCTCACTCTGGCTGGGGGGTGGGGCCGGTGTGTGCAGAGGCTGGGTGGGGAGGGGAGTGAGCTTTCCTGAGGCATCACAGGATCCCAGCAGTCAGGGCTGGGAGGCCCCTCCCTGATCAGCAGTTAGTACAAAACTGGGGCCTCAAGAGAGGGAGTGACCTGCCCAAGGGCACATATGGAGTCAGAAAAGCACAGGGACCAGAAGTCAGGTCTCCGATTCCACTCCCAAGTGCTTTTTCCAGAAGGGCAGAGGAAAGGAAATTGAGAAAGCCCCCTCTGACCCTCCCAACCCTCCGAAACTGAGATCAGGAGCAGAGGGGCTTGAATGCGGTGAGGCAGGAAGGCTCCCCATCCTGAGTGCTAGGGGGCTTCCACGAGACCAATGTGGGAAGGGGCATGCAGATCCCAGAGCTATGCTTGCTGCCCTGACCCCAATCTCCATCCCAGCCAGGCCTGGGGGTATGGGGGAAAGGAAACCGTGCAGCAAAGCCAGTCATAACCACAACCACAGTGGCAATAACAGCTAACATTTATTGTGTACCTACTGCAGGCCGGTTCTGTTTTTACATGCTCTTACATCTTGACAACAGCTTTTAAGACTATGGTTCCCATTTTACAGAGGGAAAAACTGAGGAGTAGAGTGCAAGTGATAAGCAGTGGAGCTTGGATGTGACCCCAGGCAGCAGTGCAAGACGCCAGAGCACTCTTAACCCTCCGGCGTCTGTTTGATCGTGGGCAGGTGACTGAAGGGCCTTCTCTCCTTCTCTCGGGGACGGGTGACGGTGGAATGGGATAGGTGCAAGTGTAAGTCACAAGGGCACACTTGTGTGTGACTCCGACTCCCAGCACAGGGGGACACATGGTACATTTTATTAAATGTCTGAGAAACAAGTGAGTGAACAAGTGTCTGCCCATAAATGAGTGTGACTTTGGGGGTCTATTGAATCCTGGAGAGTGCTCACCCGTGATGCGGGTGGGATCTGTCTGTGTGCCTGGAACTGCGTGAATGCGTGTGCACGCATGCCCTCTCCCTGCTGCCCTGTGTGAGCCCCATGGCTTTGTGCCTGGGGAGTGGGCGGTGCTGGAAGCTGCCGCCCATCTCCCTGGATGGTAGCTAGCTCCACGTCCCCACTGAGGGGCAGAGAAGAGGGACTCCGTTTCTAGCAGGGAAGAACAACGGGTGTGTGGGTGGGGCTCCCACCCCCTCAGGACCCCCCTCTTTTGGGCCAGCTGTTGGACCCTGCCTGAACTGAGCTGATTTCTCACTCAGTTATCTCTGTCTCCCAGGAGACCAGACCTCACAGCCCCAGGGAAGGTGCTCATCTGCCTGTTCCTGGCTCCAGACGTGGGGTGGGGGCCGGGGGTGGAAGAGCAGGGCTGCAAAGGAGAGGCTGGGGAGGGGACCAAGGGAGGGGGGGGGGGCACTAGTCACAGAATTTGCATCTTCAGGCACCGAAGCAGTGGCTGATTTCCCAGTGAAATGAGGGGTAAGGGATGGGAGCGGGCCAACTTGAGGAGAAGACATTGGCTACTGGGCGCTTCTAAGCTGCCCAGCAGTACTGAGATGGGGGCTGTTCAGGGATGGGGCTCTGAGGGAGATGTCTCTGGGGATTCTCAGGGCCTTTATATGGGATAGAGACCTGGGTGGCAGCCCAGGATCAGGTTGAGGGGTTCTTTATCAGATCCGTATGTCCCTGGATGGGATAGGGCTCTGAGTGGGATCTGAGGGTCGCAGGTGCTGAGAACACAGGATTGAGTCTGAGGGTTTCTCTGTGGGATCTTAAGGTACCTTGTGGGATTTGTGTCTTGGTAGAATCGTGGGGAGGGTGGTCCTGAAGATTTCTCTGTGGATGGGAGGAAAAGTCCCCATATAAGATGAAGGACTGGAGAGGGTGGGCTGGGGATGGGGAGTTCTTTGAGGGTGATGAGATCCCTATGAGGTGTTGAGGTCTCCTGGAGGTGTAGATCTGGGGACACTATTTTTTTTTTTCTTTTTTGCCTAACTTCCCCCTCCACGCCCAAAGGCTGAGGCTGTGGATGGGGAGGAGGTGGGGGTGACGGTGCTGAGCTGGCAAACAAAGCCACCTGTGCATCCATCCTTCAGGAAGCTCTGAGTGCAACCGATCAGGGAAAACAAACAGGACCAGCTGCTGGGGGGGGAAAGGGGGCTAGGAGGGGAGTGGGTGGGGGGAAGCTGGGGGGCTGGAGCTGGATCAGCCTCGTGGAGAAAGGAGGCTGGGATGGGGTCCATAGCACGAGAAAGGGACAAGGATCCCAGAGTCCAGTTCTAGCACACCGGGCAGGGCCGCCTGACTGCCCCTTCTCCTTCAGCGGCTCATTCTTCCCTTTCTCCATGACTTTGAACCCCAGAGCGGGGGATGGTGGGGGGAAGGTCTGGGGGGTGTGGGGACCCTGAGAGAGGTCTAGGCAAGTGGCTATTGGTGGTCTTGGTGGGTGTGCCCATTTCTGAGAGAGCTGGCCACAGACAGCTATAGAACTAAAGGCCATGGACTGGGGGCCCCACACACCATTTTTCTGATGAGGAAACTGAGGCACACAGGAGGGAAGAGGCTGGCTAGTGCCTCACACCTTCTTAGAGCAGAGCCAAGCTCAGGATTTAGGACTAGAAAGGAAACCTTTCTCACACGAAGGGTCTCCACCCCAAATCCCAGCTGGACTCCTAATTCTAATTTGGATCTCAGCTCTTATTACCTCCCCACTACTTCCCTGGCCACACACACACACACACACGCACACACACACACACACACACACACACACACACACACACACCCTCCTGTAGCCTGTGGTCGTCTGGCCGACAGCTGGATCAGAAACTGCCCATCAGGTGCAACCCTGATCTCAGGGCCATGTCCAGGCCCCCAGCCCCAGCTCCCGCAGACGTAGCGTCCGTCCTCTGACAGACATCCGCGCACCCTCGAGCCTAACACCGGGCGCCCGCGTCACCGACCAGCGCAGACGCACAGGCTGACGCACTCGCCACCCGCGCGCACCGCCCCTCGGCCCTCAGCCTCCCACCAACTCCCCCTTCCACCCCACCCCACCTTCCCGGCTTCCCACCCAGCGCGGCCCGCTCGCGCCCCCTGGCGGCCGCATCCAGAATTGCCCGATAGAGGAGGAGGAGGGAGGGAGAGGGAGGGAGGGAAGGAGAGATTCGGTCCTCACCTCCCGCCACGTCCGTAGTCCCGACTTGTGAGACCAAGTGCAAGGGCCAGGACACGAAGAATCCAGGAGGGCCTCTGGCCTCTCTCCACAGTCTGTATTCCTCCCTTATGGATTTGGGGGAAATTATACCCTATTTGTGTTTCTCCAAAACCCCTCTGGGGTAGGGAATCCGGGGACTGGGCGTGCTTCCGACCCCATCTCCAGTCAAGCCTGGCTGTGGTCGTCCTTGCTGTGACGCAAACTTTCCGAACTTGGACTTTACTCCTCCTGTTTTAGGGCGCTTTGCTCTTGGCATTCACCTTCACATACCTTATGATCCTCAATAGTAATTCCTCACCAGTAAAAAAGAGAGACCTAAGGGAGGTTTCAGTGGATACCAGCGCTTGTTCTCAGCACTCCAGAATTTTGGGGATGGGGAGGGGGGTAGAGTGGGCAAATACCCTTGCGCTCTCACTGGGGAATTTCCTCAATACCCCTTCCTCCATGGACATTTGGCCCAGCCTGACCAGCTTGTTCCCTCACTCAAGTTTTATTGAGCACCTACTCTGTGTCCAGTACTGTGCTGGGTTTGAGGATAACAAAGAACAAGACTGATATAACCCCTGCCCCTTTAAATGGAGCTTACACTCTAGTAAGGGAGACAGTCAGTGCACCCACAAACACTCATAAACCAAAGATGAAGAAGACAACTTTAGAGAGTGATAAACACTAAAGAAAACAAGGTGATATGATGAACAGTAAATACCAGGAACAGCATCACCTAGGAGATAGCAAACGAGAAAGCTTGCCAAGATCTTGTGACTAAGACACCCCAGGTAATGGGAGGCTCTGAGGTGGGAATGAACTTGGCAGTTGGGAGAAAGGATGGCTGACCAGCATGGTAGACTGCCAGGAGCTGGGGCGGCTGCATCTGGCCTGAGTCCTTTTAGTCACAGGATGTTGAGTGGTAAGAGCCGTGGGAGTGTGGAGGAGGCCCTGTGCCCCCTGGTGCCTCAGTTTCCACGTCTATATGTCCACGCCTACCCTCACTGGACTCTTGTTGAGCACCTACAACAAAACAGTAGCTTCCTTCTCACTCTCCCCTCCACTTCCGCTGAAATAGCCCCTCCGTTAAGGGAAGCTCACAATTTTGCCAGAAGTCCTTGTGCCTTATTGACAGCTATGATGATTAGGAAATTCGGCTGTGAATTGGGAGGAAATGTCCTCCCTGCAGCTTCCCTTGGGGGTCCCAAGCCTTTCTTCCTCCTCCTCCTCTCCTTCCCCCACTCTCCACCCTTCTCCCCACCACACAGGGCACTGGGATTGAGGGCAAGAGCCTAGGACCTTCAGGTCCCGACCAGACCCTGGAGCTCTGTCTGGCGACTGGGAGCGTAGCGCTGAGGTTGAAATATTCCACCTACTACAGTGAGCCACTCCCTTAGTTACTATTATTTCTAAGCGCTTCCTAAATCCACGCCCTCCCTAGGGCGGTTTATGCTGCCTGAGCTCAGCGCCGCCTCGCGGTGAGTCTTGGCCCCTTCGCGCAAGAAAAATTCCGGAGCGCCGAGCCGGGTCTGGGAATTCAAGCTTGGGAGGAAAGGAGCCACAGTGGGAAAGAGGACTGAGGGGTGTGAGGAAAGTCGCTTGCGGAGAGCCGCGTCTGACTCCGTCCAGTGTCGCTCGAAAGAGAGGCCTCGACGTAGGCCTGAGGAGGAGGTGGAGTTTAGACGTTGGGAAGAACTCCCGAGACTCAAGTCAAGAATTCGCGGTCTTAGCCGGGTGGCCCCAGAGTGGCCTGGTACCTCCATCACTAAAGGTCTGGGCCAGGGAGGGCGCGTTCTGCCCAGAGGTCGGATGCGCCTTGCTTGGCTCAGTCCCCCAGAAAAGAAAAAGCGGAGTCAGCCTCAGCTGTGGCGGGCGCGGGACGTGTGCCTCAGCACTTTCTATTGTGATCCCCGAGGGCTGGGGCCAGATTGGAGGCTGCGGGAAAGGCCTGGGCTCCCCCAGAGGACACGAGAACTGACCGCAGCCTGCCCGCTGACTCAGCTCCCCCACCGCAGCGGGAGAGAATGCGGGGAGGGGGGCGAGGCCCAGTATAAAGCCCCACACGCCGCCGGGCCCGCGCGCAGCCTCTCCATTTTCCGTCAGTCCAGCCCTCACCCCACCCGGTGAATACTCGGGGCTGGGGCAGGGTCTCTCCGGGGCGGGGGAGGGCGAGGTGAGGGAGAGCCGCTAGCAGCCCGGTGCGGCCCGGAATTCTTCACCCCCGGCCTGGGTTGGGAGGGCCTGGGCCCCGGAGGGGGGCAGTCGGACGCTGAACTTCTGGTCCCGCCCTTCTCGCCCGCAGCGGCATGAGCAGCGCCCCCGCGCCGGGCCCAGCGCCCGCCAGCCTCACGCTCTGGGACGAGGAGGACTTCCAGGGCCGCCGCTGCCGGCTGCTGAGCGACTGCGCGAACATCGCCGAGCGCGGAGGCCTGCGCAGGGTGCGCTCTGTCAAGGTGGAAAATGGCGCGTGAGTGATGGTCCAGGAGCGGCCGGGCTGGGTTGGGACGCGCGGGGCTCCCCTGGCCTAAGCCTGGGACCTCAGCTCTCGACCCTCCGTTTCCCAGACTGTTAGTCTTGCCTGAGAGAGACCGATCCACATGGGGAACCCCTTGGCCTCCCCAGAACTCCCCGTGCGCCACAAGACAAACCATGTGAACTAAAGGGATATAGGCGAGAGGCAACCCTTTGTGGGCGCCCCATGGGACCAGCCTGAACCCTGAAGCGGCTCCCAGTGTAGTTACTTCCTCCCCAGAGTTTTTCTCTGTGCAGAGTTAGATGGCTCTGCGCTTGGTATAATAAAAGAAGCCAAATCCCTTCCTCTCGCTCCACCCTGTTCTCTGAGAGCCTGGGGCCCTCAGGAGAGCTGAGGCCCCCGACTTTTGCAGGTTGTTATCACAGATCGCTACTGCAGGTTTGGGGGATTCCTACACCTACCTTTGCCGGCACCTAAATCCTTGAGTTAGGAACCCTTGATTAGGTGATCTTCAGAAGCTGGAAAATTCCTTCCAACCTGGGGAGCCTAAGCTGGAAGCTTGGGTCCCTCAAACCCTGGATAGCAGGTGGTTTAGTGTCTTTAGCTTCTAGAAGGGGCCAGATTGCTGTGAGCTGTGTATGTCAGGGTAAGGGCCTGGGGTTGGAGAAAAAGATTAGTTTCAGTCTTTTCGAGCACAATGAGGATGAGGGTGGGGAGGAAGGAGTGAGGCTGGAGCAGATGCCTCCCAGCTTCCTTTATCTTTCCCCAGTTGGGTGGCCTTTGAGTACCCCGACTTCCAGGGACAGCAGTTCATTCTGGAGAAGGGTGACTATCCTTGCTGGAGCGCCTGGAGCGGCAGTGGTGGCCACCACAGTGACCAGCTGCTCTCTTTCCGGCCAGTGCTCTGCGCGGTAAGCACAGCCCTCCCCTTGCCCCTCTGCCTCCTAGCTCCTAGCTCCAGGCCCTGACCCCACCATGGTGCCTCAGAAAAGCTGTCCAGTCACTGTATGGAGATGTGTAAATACAATTCCTAGATGGGTGGTAGTGGCATTACTTCCCAGAACCAGAAGAGTCTCCAAAAGTTCAGAAAGTGGGCCTAAGTCAGGTGCCCAAAATCAGCACCACGGACAGCACCAAGACGGGGCCAGTCTTGAGCACCTACTGTTCCTCAATTTGTGTCCCCCACACCTGTAAGAGAGTGCTTCTGTCATCACACAGTCCTGCAAGGTTGGGGTGGCTGCTGTTAGCCTCATATACAGCTGTGGAAATGGGGCTCAGAAGGGCAAAGTGTCTTGCTCTCAGACGCAAGTGTTAACATGAAGATGAAACTAGAACTCGATTCAGAGATCATTGGTGAAAAGGGGTCAGTCTCTGTGTGTGTGTATGTGGGGGAAGGGTTGGCAATGAATCAAATGAGTCACTGGAGGTGAGGCTCTCACTTCTCACTTGTGCTGACTTAAGTACCCTACTGTTGAGGCCTGCGGCTGAGAGGTAGAGGGCAAAGAGCAAATGCTGACTCAGCCTAGCTTCTCCATTCCAGGAGGGGAAGGCTGTAGGGCCATGGAAGGCAAGACCCAACCAACTCTGATGCCCTGGCCTGTCTATTCTGGCTCTGTCAGCTGGCGTCCCTTAGCTGGGCCTAATCCTGTGAGAGGCTGTACCCAAGGTGCTGGGCAGGGGACTGAGTAGTCATTGAGACCTTTAGGAAAACTGTCTTGGTTAATGGGCCAAATTTCTCTCAGGATCTCTTATTTTCCTTCTGCAAATAGGTCCATATTACAAGATGCCCTCTCGCCCTGACCTGGAAAGGTCTCTGGGAAACCCTCAGTCTCACCACCTCCACCCAAAGCCATAGAAGGGACTAGACTGGGGACTTCTGAGCATCCCAGCTTCCCAGACTGCTATGGACCTGACGGAGTGATCTCTGGGAATGTCCGTGGAGCCAAAGTGTCTGCGCAGCTGTGTTGGGAGGCGAGGTGGGGAAAATCTTTGGAGGGCCTGACCTGTCCACCCTCACCTTCCAGAATCACAGTGACAGCCGTGTGACACTGTTTGAGAGAGAGAACTTCCAGGGCAGCAAGTTTGAACTCAGCGATGACTACCCATCCCTGCCCTCCATGGGTTGGGCCAGCAAGGATGTGGGTTCCCTCAAAGTCAGCTCTGGAGCGTGAGTCCTGCGACTGGAACAAGGGAGACAAGAAGAGAAGGGAGGCAATGGGCACCATGGAGGGGGGTTGGGAAAGGTGATGGGGTGCTAAGAGACATGGTAAAGAGATGTTGGGGACTGGGGGAAGTGAGATGATGGAGACAGACTGTGGGGGGCATGTAGTAGGAGATAGGAGTCAGGGAGCCAATGTGGGGGGAGAGGAAGAGATTTTTAAAAAGACAGATGAGGAGGCAATGGAGGATGGGAATAGGGGATGAGGGGAGAACCATGTTAAGAAGACCTGGAGCAGTGGGCCGGGCAGAGAGAGATCCATGTAGGGAAAATTGAAGCAATGGTTTTGGAGCTGGGGGGTTGGGGGCTGAGAAAGGAGGGCTACTAATGGGGGACATTGGTGGGGGTGGGGGCTGAGCCTGCTTACCACCCTTGTGCTCTCACTGGCCTAGGTGGGTGGCCTACCAGTACCCAGGCTACCGGGGCTACCAGTATGTATTGGAGCGGGACCGGCACAGTGGAGAGTTCCGTACCTACAGTGAATTTGGCACGCAGGCCCACACCGGGCTGCTGCAGTCCATTCGAAGAGTCCAGCACTAAGCTCCACAGCCCTGACACCTCCCCTGAGGACCCTCAATAAAGGCTCCTGAACCTGCCTGCCCCTCTTGCCTCTTTCTTGTGGTCTTGCTTTGTGATCTTCATCTTAATCTTTCTTAAGGTCTTTCCCTGCCAACCTGACCCTCCTCTCAGGCTTCAGGATTCTTGACTATGGAGCATAAACTGGCTTATGATGTATGGGGCTAGACCCTGATAAGGCTGAGAAAACTGCTGGCAAGAATCTTGGGGATCCTGTTAAATACAACCACTCCCACACCTCTCCTTGGTAAAGGCCCATCAGCTTGGGTCAGGTGTACCATAGCACACACATGGTGCCTTTGCCATCTTCTGGTTTGGGTGCACACAGCCCTACAGCAGGGGCTCATAGCTGAATTTCAACCACGTGGGCCAGGCACCAGCATGCTCCTAGGGCAGGACCTCCTTAATTCTATGCAGAGCTCAGTTGGGTTCCTCCCTAACCCCCAGGGCATTTCCAGCCTTTATCTTTACCCTGGCTCGATATCCAACTGAGCAAAGCCTGCACCCTTTTCCCAGCTTTATAGAGTCTCTGCAAGGCTGTAGGAGGAGAAATGAGTGGGAGGTCCCACTGCCTCCCAGGGCTTTCTAAAGGGGAGACTTTCTCTCTCTTAGTGGAGCCCCCAGGCCCTTTGTCTGAATAATAACAATCCCTTCATGATATCGAGCTCCAGCTTAGACAAAGCATTTTCATACCCTTCCTCTCAGCTCTTCCAAAGAACCCTCTCTTCATTCTTCCTCTCCCTCCCTCTCTTCAGAGGATTGGTGAGCTGGAGAGGCCACCCCTCAGCCACTGACCACAGTGAGCCTGGGTTCTGGGGCAGGTGGCAGAAGCCCACAGCCATGTTGGGGCTGAGTGGTAGCAGCCCCTGGCACCAATGCAGTTTCTACCCAGTTCCCTATTTGGCCCAGTTAATGATACTCTCAATCCCACATAGGCAGGGCCCTCAAGGCCCTTGGGACTCCCCTCATTCTGTCATTCAGGGATGTTTGTGTTTTCAAGCCCCTAGTGGACCTATCAATGGGGAGGAGTGGCCCAGATCATTGCCTGAGCCCAGAGGAGGTAGGGCAATGTTGGAGAACAGTTAGACTTGGACCTGAGCCATTCCTAAGGGCCCACTTGTGCAGTCAGGCATCTGCTCCCTTGGGAAGAGCCCTGGACCAGGAGTCAGAACATCTGGGATCCAATCATATAGTACCCTTGAACCTCTATTCCCTCACTTGTGAAGTGGAGCTACTGATCCCTGCCTCGTCTGTCTCACAGGGTTGTGAGGATTCAAGGAGAAACCACTGAAAATGCTTGTGGTGCTATGGAAAAGCACCGGGGCAGTCAAAGTAGGGCCCTCATTCCCCTGCACTGCCCCCCCCCATGGATCCCAGGGTAGAGTCGGGGGAGCAAGGGACAGAATTCTGGGTAGAGTATGAATTCTGCTTTTTAAATGAATGGGTTCTAGAGTCCAGGCGCCTGCTGCATTTGGTTCTCTTAACACCTCCCATACTTCATCCATTTCACCAATCAAGAAAGATTCTGGGCTGAGAGGGAGAAGCCTGGATGAGGTCATCCAATTTACTGGTGACAAAACCAGGACTTGAACACAGGGCTCCTGACCTCAAATTCAGGCTGTTAAGGGAAGGCTGACCTGAGCTGGGGCTAAAAGCCTCAGGCCTCAGCAGAACCCCACACTTCTGTGGGCCCCCAAAGAGTCTGGAGTTCCTGCCTGGTCACAGGCTCTTAACTGTCCCGTTGGAGGATGATAATAATAATAATAATAGCTAAATGTAAGGCTGTCTGAGTGCTCAGCATGGGTTATATAAGCCTCATAATTCTGTATGATAGGTACTGTAATCCCCATTTTACAGAGGAAGAGACTAACTTCCCCAAAGTCATACAACTAGGAAATAGGGGAACCAGAGTTGAACCCAGAACCCAGACGAACTAGCCTCAGAGCCCAGCAGCCCTTCTTCCCTCTTCCTGCTTTGGAAGGGTAGGCAATGGGCAAAAGGAGATCTAGTATCCACCATCAGCTAAACTGCCCTCACTCTAGGAGGGTCTGTGGCTGCTGGGAAGAGTCAGCAAGATGGCTGCAGGAATGGCAGTGGGAACTTGAATAGGACACTCCCCATCTCTAGGTTTTAGTGTCCCCATCTGTACAACTAGGGAGTTGAGAGAGCTAATATTTGCTGCAGTCTTTGTCAACAGGAACCTTCTAGGTTTTCCTGGACCTAGAGGTCCAACTCTGCATCCCACACTGGCACCTAGAGAGTAGGGGGCTCAAAGACCAGGCTGAGAGTGTTTTCACCTTTCCAACCTTCTCCCATTCTAGGTAGGCTGACGGTCAGCAGAACCCTGTTGGACTGAGATCCAGCCAGGTGGGAGGAGGATGGAGGAGAAGCTGGCTGGGACTTGTCCATTGGCTGTACTCAGCCAAGGCCAAAGGGGATGAAGGAGGTCATCTCCTTTCTGGCGCAGCCAAGACCCAGGGGCAGTGAGGGGGGGCACCTCTCAAGCTCTTTCCAGCGCTCACCTACCCCTTCAGCACCTGAGTCTTTAATGAGGCAGAGACACAGAGCCTGAGCTGTTGATCCCTCTCCAGTCCGGAGCTGGGATATCTGGATAGACCTCCAACTCTGAGCACCTCTCCCTTCTGTCTCAGCCTTCTGCTGAGAGCATTGAGTAAACTCCACTGCCTCCCCACTCTCAGCTCTGACCTTCTGCTCCTCAGTTTCCATCTGGGAAAGGAATAAGAAGGCATGAAGGAAAAGGATTAGGACCTCAACCCCACCTCCAAGGCCCTCCCCTCCTGTGAACCCCTGGGTTTGGTCTCCAGGGAACATCCTAAACTCTCATCTTTGTTCCCCCCAGATTCCTCATCCACATCTTCCTTTAGGATTCTGGGGTCCTGGGATCCCCTCGTTCCCCCTGGACTCTGCCTCCCTCACTCCTCCTTTGTTCCTTCTGACTTTTGCACCCTCCATCAGAAAGGTGAATACTCCAGCAGTTACAGCAAGTGAGGAATGAACAGGGGCCCTGAAGAACCCCCCAAGTTGGACTTTCCAGCCATCGTCAGTTGGGCACTCCAGGATCACGGATCCTGCAGGAAACTTGCCCACTCCAATCTGTGTGCCATCAAGTCCCCAGCCTCCTCACCTCCTGGGCTCAAGCAGTGGGAGGGAAATGCCTCGAGATTAGCAATTCTGACGGTAGCCACCAGGTGCTGGATGCCTGCAGGTGGGCTCCTAAGCCCAGAGCCTCATCTTCAGCTAGCATCCCTCCTTAGCTAGCCTCTCTTGAGCCAAGAAGCCCCACAGGTACTCAGAGACTTCAGGCCACCTGGGAACCACATCAGCTATGCTAATATACAATCAGAGTCTTTCGAAGGGATTTCAGCCTCCACACCTCCCCTGCGTTGGAGGCCGTATAAGTACAGAGCCCCGTTTCAAGCCTTCTACTCCTGCTAGAGCAAGGTGCCAATTGCAGCCTGGTTCAGGGATTACCAGGATGGGAGTAGTTGAGAGGGTGGATGATAGGCTGGGATGACAGGGGATAGGGAAGGATGGAAGAGCAACCCTTTTGGGGGGAAATGGAAAGGGGCTCATGAGCCTCCCGCATGACCCAAAGTAGTGAGGAACAAATGAATGAAAAAAGAAGGGGAAGGAGAGAGATAGGACAGAGAGAGCGCACATTGAGACGGGAAGGGGGGATGGCACTGAAGAGAGTAGATGAGGAAGGAGAGACCTACAAAAGGGGGAGGAGGGGCAACCTGCTAGAAGTTGTGGGGAGACGACACAACGCTGGCCCAGAGGCCTGGAACCCTGGAAAGGCGAGAAACAGGCCAAAGCAAGAGGGAGACGGGGAAGGAGATCGGGTCTCTAGGGAAGAGCAGAGAGTGGGAGCCGTGGAGGAGGGAGAAGGCGCAGGGAGGAGGTGGGGGCGGAGATAAAGCGAGCAACTGCTGCCCGGCCGGGAGCGGAGCGACAGGCGAGAGGGAGGGAAGCGGAAATTTAAAAGTGAAGATGCAGATAACGCAGCCTGGAGACGGGAACCCGGGTGGGGGTGGGGGGAGGAAGGGGGGAGGAGAGTGGAGCCTTGATGGGGGCTGGAATGGGTGGAAGGAGGGGCTGTGGCCCCGGGGGTCCGAGGTGGGGCCGGGTACCCTGCCCCATCGCTGTTTGCTGAGAGTCACGGAGGCGGAAAAGAAACGCGCTCCCGACCCCTATCAGAGCGGGAGGCCCAGGCCCATCCCCCGCGCGTCTCCCGGGTTGCGGGGCGCTGGGGGCTGCTGGGTGCGCTTGGCTGCGGCGCGGCGCGTTGGAGACTTTATTGCGATGGGGCGATAAGAGGGGCGGGGGCGGGGCCCGGGGGGCCGAGGCAGCAGCGCTTTAATTAAAACGGAAATTGCGGCCCCTGCCCGCGCGGGGGGCCGGAGGGTTCCAGGCAGCCTGCTAGCTGGGAGCATCGCTCCAGGACCCCCTCCATTCCCCGCCACACCCGGGCAGCCCCCTCCCGCCAGGCCCTCCCGGACCCGCGCCGTCTTCTTGTCACCCGCGGTTGCCTCGGGCGGGGATCGGTGCCCCGGAGCGCAAAGCCTGACGCGTCCCCCCTTTCTCATCCCCCCCCACACACCTCCCACCACCCAGACCCTGGCGGCGATGAGACAGAGCGGCGCCTCCCAGCCCCTGCTGATCAACATGTACCTGCCAGGTACCAGGGACCAGCCGGGGGCTGGAGGCACCAAGACATGGGGCCGGAAGTTTGGGTTCGGGCATGGGAAGGGGTTGCTGGGGTCCAAGGGAAAGGGACCAGAGACTAGGATTGCTGGGAGGACTGAGCAATCGAGGGGCACTGGGGGACCTTAAAGGTAGATAGAGAGCTTTGGGGTTTTAGTGTGAGGTCTAAGGACTCGAAGTGAGCAGATTGGGAACCTGGGAGGCCGAGGGCGTGAGCTCAGCGGCTGAGGGAGCCTGGTAGGGGGGGCAGGGGTCTTCGGTGTGGCAGGGGACTGACTCAGTGTGCGTTCAGCATTGGGAAGCTGTGGTCAGCTGAGCGTCGCCCCTGCGCCCTCGTGGCTTCTCACCTCGGTGCTCCGAGCGTTCCCACCAGCCCAGCCTTCCAGGCGCCCTCCTCTCTTCTCCGATGGGCTCCGGGCGCTCCCGCTTCGCGGGCGCACTCCCTGCTCGGCTTTATAAGGCTCCCGCCGGCCCGTTCGGAAAGCGGATTTCCTTTTTCCTGGACGCGTTTCCTGACTTGGGCGTTATGGAGGGGCTCCGCGCGGCGCGCGCCCGGGCCAGGCTCGGGGAGGAGGGGCTGGCGGCTCGAGCCCCCAGCCTCGCACCCAGGAACCAACCCCCCACGCCCCCCCGCCCCGAGCCTTGGCCCGGAGCCCTTTCGGTCAAGCCCACAACCTCCGCCCGGCTCCTCCTGACTGTTTTTTCCTGCTGCTACAGATCCCGTCGGAGACGGTCTCTTCAAGGAAGGGAAGAGCCCGGGGTGGGGGCCGCTGAGCCCAGCGGTACAGAAAGGTGAGCTGGCCCGCGGACGGGGGTTGAGGGTGGGGGTGAGGACAGCGGATGGAGGCCGGGGCACCCACCCCAGAAGGACAGGCGCCACCGCCACCTGACCAGAGGGTGGAGGCGATGTGCACAGCGGAGCTCTGGGAAGGGAGGGTCCAGGCGTGACTGTGGGGAGGCTGAGGGGAGGAGGCATCCACTTGGCCTTGGGCTCCACTCCAGTATATTCTGAGTCCCAGAGCTGGACCTGCAGACCAGGGCAGAGGGAGAGGATCCTGGCCCTTGGCCTTTTTACAGTGAGGGGCCAGGACCCAGGTGCTTGGTGTCCTTCCCCTCTTGGCAGCAGGACCACAAGGCCAGGGCACCTCTGGGCAAGGGGAATTACTCCCTGGCCACTCCAGTCCTTCTCACCACTAGCACTGGGTCAGCACCTACCTGCCTCAATGGCCCAGGCCAGCAGGGCTCTGGGGGCCAAGTGGGCTGGGCCATTGACATTGATCCTCAGGTTCCTCCACCCGGCTCCGCAAGTCGCTAAATTACTCTTGGCTTTGTCTTGTTGGTCTCTGAGCCTGGCTGGTCCTCCAGGCAAAGCCTCCCCACAGCCTACCCCTACCCCCCAGTACCCTAGACCTAGTACCAAGTTACAGTAACCACAATGACAACGTTGGCAACAGCTTTATCCAAAAGGGAACTGACTCCCAGCAAGAATGGGTTTCCAAGCCTCTGATGTCAGTCTGTGTGGGTGCCCGCTGTATATTTTAACCCAAACCTTCCCTTAACCTTCCCTTGTTCCTGACCCTAAAGCTCCCAACCTGGAGTCAGGCAGCTACTGGCTGAGCTGGTGTGGAGGGACTGGGGTTGAAATGATGGTGAGGGGCAGCGTCTGGGTTCAGAGCAAGTGGTTGAGAAAGGAAGAGAGGCTCCCCCAGGCTTGATTTGAATCAATAATCAGAATACTTCGAGGAAAATCCTTTTTTCCCTCCTCTCCCCTAAAAGAGAGTGAGAGGAAGTCTTTGTATCAAGATTTTTCTCCCCTTGTCTGACTGAGGCTCCAAAACAGGGGAGTGAGAGAGAATTATCGGGCAGCCCTCTCTCTCATCACCCGAATATCCGGGAAAATCCTACTTGCCCCTTCCAGAAATCCCGAAATCTGGACGGCCCGGCCCAAAGAGCGCAGAGATGGCCAAAGATGGTAGGAGGCAGGGAGCCAAGCCGAGCGGCTTCCAGGTCTTCTCTCCTCTCCTAAGAGCTGTGCATCACGCCCCCAAAGTGTGACACCTTCCCAGGCCGGGAATCCCGGCTGGTCCGAAAAACAGGGCGGAACCCCAGTAACGCCAGCGCGGCGCTCTGCACCCCGGACCCTGGAGGGGGTGAGGAGCCTTCAGAGTCTGACCCTCTTCGCACGCTTTGGAGGCCACTGCTCCCATTCCTGTCTGACTGGTACGGCAAGAAAGCCGGCCTCCACCTCTTCTCCACCTCAGGCGGGGCGGGTCCAACTGTGCCTTTGAGGGCTAGGCCTTGTCTAGCGGCGGGGCTGGTCCCCCTGCACCCCGGCCTCTTCCCCCTGGACTTGCGGACATGGTCCAGCTGGGATGTGGCAGTCTAAGCACCTGCGCAGACGACCCTGTGCGGTCGTGTAGGCTCCTCTCCGCTCCGAATAAGGGCGCAGGGCCAAGGTGGCAGTAGGGGCGGGTATTGGGCCCTTGCTGGCTTCCCAGAGCCGCGTGCCCTGGTGCGCCGCTACCTCCACGCCGAGGAGGCTGTGCTTCGCCCTCCTGCCCAATTCTCACAAAGCCAGGAGCCCGCGGGGCTGCGTCCTCCTAAGAGGGGGCCGTGCTTCCATTGTGCAAAAGCACGGGAAAGGCTAAGAACCGCTCGGCCGATCGGCCCCTCCCCGGCCAGCCGCTGCAGCGGCGCCCAGCTGCCCTGCCCGACGCGCGCTTTTTCCCTCACCCGACGCGGGTTCCCACCCGGCCGGGTCGGTCAGCCGCCTCACCTGTCCCCCTCCCCGCCCCGCGCCTCCCCGGTCCCGCCCGTGGCTGACCGCCCCCTCCCCACAGGCAGCGGGCAGATCCAGCTCTGGCAGTTTCTGCTGGAGCTCCTGGCGGACCGCGCCAACGCCGGCTGCATCGCGTGGGAGGGCGGCCACGGCGAGTTCAAGCTCACGGACCCAGACGAGGTGGCGCGGCGCTGGGGCGAGCGCAAGAGCAAGCCCAACATGAACTACGACAAGCTGAGCCGCGCGCTGCGCTACTACTACGACAAGAACATCATGAGCAAGGTGCACGGCAAGCGCTACGCCTACCGCTTCGACTTCCAGGGTCTGGCCCAGGCCTGCCAGCCGCCGCCCGCGCACGCCCACGCCGCCGCCGCCGCCGCCGCCGCCGCCGCTGCCGCCGCCCAGGACGGCGCGCTCTACAAGCTGCCGGCTGGCCTCGCCCCGCTGCCCTTCCCCGGCCTCTCCAAACTCAACCTTATGGCCGCGTCGGCCGGCGTCGCGCCCGCCGGCTTCTCCTACTGGCCGGGCCCGGGCCCCGCCGCCACCGCCGCCGCCACCGCGGCACTCTACCCCAGCCCCGGCTTGCAGCCCCCGCCCGGGCCCTTCGGCGCGGTGGCCGCCGCCTCGCACTTGGGGGGCCACTACCACTAGACGGGGCGGCCGGGAGCCGTGCGGCCTCTCCCAGGCGCCCAGAGCCTCGCTCGGTCCCATTCACACCCGGGGAAGGGGCCCGGAGCCTCCCCCACCGTTCCTTTGATCTCAGATTTTACGCCCTCGCCGCACCCAGCCCCGGGGGGCTGAGGGGGAGGGAAGGGAAGGGACCTGAAGCCTCCTCCGTCTTCTTTGAACCCTGGATTTGCCCCCGCCCCCGCCCCTCGCTGTACCCTCAGCCCCTGGGGGAGGGGGCCCGCCCCCCCCCCCCGGCTTTCTTTAACCTCTATCTTCTAGGCCCCAGAGCCCCGAAGGGGGTTCCCGGACCTCTCCTTTTTCTGCCCTCCACCAGTACTTACGCCTGGCTCCTGGAAGCCCCCTCCATTATAATCTCTCTTTTTCCAATTCCAAATCTTTTCTCGTTTTTTCTTCCCCCCGCTGAGCTGCCCCATCCTAGAATGATAGCGGCCTCACACAGTCCACCTGCTCCTTGACTACCCGGGCTTCACCGGACTTGGTGAGGGCCACTGCCCCTGTGGCTCATCTAGGTAGCTTCCGGCCCCCCTTCCTCTCCCTCTCTCTCTCTCTCTCTCTCTCTCTCTCTCTCTCTCTCCCGCAGGATGGCCTGATGTGTTTCTATTCCCTTCCAGACCCATTAAAGCTCCCAAGCTCCCCACTGCCTCCTCTCTGTGTTCTTTGATGCACCAGAACCTTTCTTTCAGGGGAAAAGGAGATGCCCAGCTCAGGCCTGAGCACAAAGGCCTTACAAGGAAGAGTTGAAGAAAACGAGGGCAAAGCCGACTTGGGTGCTCCTAGAGGAGACAGAGGAGCCTCTGGTGGGTAGGCTCAGCCCAAGAACGAGATTGCCCTGCTGCAGCAGCCCCACCCGACTGACCGCCGGGCAGTCGACCCCAACCTGCCTCACCCTGCCTTCCACCTGCCCCTTCACCTCACCCCACCCTACCCCCCATCCCGGCCTGTCTCATCCGCACACCATTTCAACCTTTCCCGTCTCCAGTTCGTCTCCTTCCCCACCTCTCCTCCCCTCCCCAGCCTACCCTCACTTTGACTTTCTCTCACCCTCATTCACAAAACGCTCCCCTGCCCCTGTATCTGCAACGCTCTCTCTTCTGTGGATCTGCCTCCTGATTTTCAGAAAGAGGGATCCCCCCGCCCCGGGTTCCGCACCCGCGGCTCCCGGCGGTGGCTTGGTGAGGCACTCTCCTTCTCGCGGGTGGCGCGCGCCCTCTGCTGGTCGGAGGAGGGTAAGCCAGGGCCGGGTTTTGCCCCTAAGCCTGGACTTAGCCTGGTGAAGCCTCTGGTGTCCCATCTCCTGGAGTCCAGAAGGACCCCGACACTTCCAGGCTTCCTTTAGTCTTCAGAGAGGAGGGCAGAGGAGGAACCCTAGCCCTGCCTCCCTCAGGAAGTCCTAGAAGTGACTCAAGTGGGTCATTCTGGTTGCCTCCCCTTTTTTAAAGATTTTATTTATTTGAGAGAGAGAGTGCGCATGAGTGGGGGGGCAGAGGGAGAGGGAGAAACTTCTGATCTCTTGGCAGAGATCAGAAGCCCCGAGGTGGGGCTTGATCCCCGGACCCTGGGATCACAACCTAAGCTGAAGGCAGACACTTAATGGCTGGGCCCTTTTCCTCACCACCCTCCTGGAGGCCCTTCTGAATCCTGCACCCACTGGGACCATGGCCTTTATGCTCTCTCGGAGCATTTTACAAAAACTGTTGGCAGGAAAACTGCCTTAAACGCGTTCCCTTAGATGGAACAACACCCGGGCAGGTGCATGAAGTGATTGCTGCGATGTTGGGCTGCACACAAAGGCAAGCCCCCCCTTCCCCCATGGTCTTGGTGCTTCTTTCCCAAGGTTTCTGTGGATTGCGGGTTGAGGGGAGAACACCCTGGGCTCCCGCAGGAGGCCGAGAAGATTTCCCTGCAAGAAGGGGACTTGCAGGTGGAAGGCAGCACAGTTCGGTACAGGGAGGGCTGGGATGCTTTTCCCCAAAGAGTGCTGATGAAGTCATCAAGGTCCACCTAGGGAAAGAGTCTTTATTTTTTTCATTTTATTTCACTTAATTTTTTCCTGGTTTTCCAAATAACACATCCTTGGCATAGAAATTTTGGAAGATACACACACAAGGCCTTCATTAAATATGACTTGGATGAAGAGTGTAATGAAGCATGGAGAAAAATGACCCATTACACAGAGGCCACTATTCATATCTCTTTGACATAATCTCTTTCCTTTTCACTGTGCCTTTTAGAATTTAATGGTACCTTACTTTAGTCACCTAATATTCTGGTACAGGCATGTTCCATATTATTATGCCCTATAGATGTCATGAGGTGGAAGAGCAGGCTCACATATTCTATGGGGCAGATGGACCAGGGGATGAGTCCCACATTGTGAAGGCCTCGGTGACTTGGAGGGAGGTGCAAAGGACCTCTCTGCAGGGGGCAGGAACCTGGGAAGGAGAACGGATTCACCAGAGAGACAGAACCGTGATCCAAAAAGATCTGGGCTGCTAAGAATTGTGGGCTAAATGTAACAAGGTGAAATTTCCTGGCAAAGAGTGTGAGGCCCTGCTCTTAGATCTTTAAATGAAAAGACAGGAGGTCAGAGTGTGAGGTATGGCAAGGAAGTGGCTCAGGAGAGCCTGTGTATAAATTAGTGGCTTCTTAGTCAACACAGTATTAAATGGGAGGCCGAAGGGTGGAATGCAGGAAAATCATTGTGATCTGAGGATGCATTGATGGAGCTATGGCCCCAAAGATGAAGGAAATGACCCACTTGCTCTAATGAGTGTACCCCCAGCATAATGGGACACAGTGTTAGAGAGCACTTCCGAGAGAACACCAAATGGAGAACATACAGAGTAGTGGGCTCAGGCAGTGAAAAGAGAGAAAGCTGGAGAACCAATGACAATGAGAGATGTAGCCTGGAAATCACACTGGGGAAAAGGACACGAGAACTGTCCTCGATTACTCAAAGAGCTGGCCTGTGGCAGAGGACTTGGATGTGTGCGACGAAGGGCAGTATTGGGACTTGCAGTAGGAAGCTACAGGAAGACAGACATGTCACTTTGATTGAATGAAGCACCTCTGTCAGTACTCAGCAGCCCCTTCCCTGGGGGCCTGCGGGAGGGGGAGAGAAGGTAACTTCTCCAAACTTGAGACTCTTGAAGTCCTGTGAGTAAGTTGGTAAAGGTGGGATTTCAGGCACCGTTGGGCAGCTGAGGGGAGGTGTCCTTAGATTTGAGGATCTTCATACTTATGAAATCACATCCTTAAAGCCCACCCTGCCCCCCTGTTTTTTCCTACACACAGAGCCAATTTGGAAGCTAAGATACAGGATTGGGAATCAGAAAACCTGAATTCCAGTCCCACTGTGACAACTCACTTGCTACGTCACCTTTGGACAACCACATCTCTTCTCTGGGATTCCATTGTGTCTCCTTAAAATAATGAGGCTCAACCAGGGATTTGAGAATTCTACTCTGTGGAAACTCAGAGGTCACCTAGGTTCTCTCTGTTCCAAAAAAAAAAAAAGTTGGAAAATGTCTGTCCAAGGTGATTTCTAAGGTTGTGTCCAGCCCCCAAATCCCATAGATGGCTATTCTCTTCTCCAGGCCACCTCGGCTCTAGCTATATCCCTTCCTCGGTAATATTTCCAAGCTCTGAGTCACTGTGGCCTTGGGGTGACTCTAGTCTCACCCAAGCCCCAAAGAAGCCACACTTTTATTACACGCAGCTTCCTGATGATCCAGGTCTATCCTCATGGGCCCTTCACCCCTTGGTTCTTGGCCATCCAGGGTACTGATCCCACTATTGCTCCCCTCTCCCATTCCAAGGTCCAGCCCCTCTTGCATTCCTTGAAGTCCTGAGCCTTTGCTCCATCTCCTCACTCATGTCACTGGTGAAAATATGGCTCACTTCCTACCTCCCCCCCACCCCCCAACACCACATGCTTACAGAGTTTATAAAACACTTCCGCATCCATTGTCTTATGGGTCCCGTCCACGGTCAGGGAGGAAGACAGGGCAAGGATTGCTTTACCCGCTAGAAGGATAAATAAACCAAGGCCCAATAGGTTAAGAGACTTGGCTAAAGTCTCAGGTTTGTTCTAGAACTTGTGTCTTCTGGTTTCTCTCCCAAGCCTTTTCCCAGTGCTGAGTGGTTTCTCCATTGTCCTGAGTGGCCCTTGATTACCCTCTTTGTAGGATCCCTCCCACCCCCGGCCAGGATTACACACACCTGTGTCTCCTCCACAGGTGGAGGATAATGTGTTTGCCATGTCACCAAGCCCCACTTGCAGATGGACTCAGAAGCCCGAACAGCATGCGGGGTGAGGACATCTGTGTCCACGCCGCCTGATATACTTGGACAGTCACAGAGGCACATGTTAGCTCAGGGGACCACAGATAGACATCAAAATGGGCTTCTGTGCTGTACTTTTCTCAGACCCTTCTGCTTTTCTGGCCTTCATCCTTTTTCCAACATGTCTTTAAGATGCACTTAACTTCAGCTTGTTCCTCAACCTATTTATAATTCATATCAAGTAGACTTGCTGATAATAAAAAGGAGCAACCCTACCATTCATTGAACCTGACTCTGTCAGGCTCTGCCCTATGCGGACGCTTTTCATGTGGTATGTCCTCTGAGTGGGCCACAACCTCGCCAGGTGGGGATGGTCACCTCTCCTTCCAGATGAGGAAGCTCACGCTCGGAGAAGTCAAGTGGCTGGCCCAGCCTGTGACCCCTGAGCCCAAGTCCTCAGCATCACACACATGCCCTCCTGCAGGGCCTTCCTGGAGAGCCTCTTCCTCATGTGGGTGTGACCTGCCGCTTGCCCATTGCAGGTGTACTCCTGTTTAATTGTCATAGCAGAAGATGGTTATGAAGGGCAGATTGATGGCTTATGAGTGCCATTAGTTAGGGCTTCCATCTGATAAAGAGCAAATCAGAGACTGTTTTGTTCCCCCTTGTCTTTTGCA